AGAGTGAACGATCAATTCTTGGTTGTTTGCTCAAAATCAACTTCCGCAATTTTCGCGGAGGCATCAATACGACAGTCATCGTCTCATCGGTCGCTGTTCAGAAAGAAGAGTGAAACATCGTCAGAAGTAATACAATGACTTATTGTTGTAATATTTGTTTTCAGACCTTAGTTCACTTATTCTTTTTATATGTTGATGTAACAATAAAGAAATCTCAAGTGGCCAATCGGTGTTTTGGTTTTTTCGTCCGTTATAACTAAGCGTTTCTGAAATCTTCAAGGAACAGCGTGGGCCCGAGCGTAGCGAGAGCTGGGCATTAACGGTTTATGAGACGTGATTGACAGTTTCTGACGATAGAAACAGATCTGGCGGATTCAAACAGTTGGTGAAAGTTTGGATAGTCGCCGTTCATTTTTCCTGGTGCCGGTCAAGTCCTCTTTGAACAAGGAATATCTGGAACGCTTTTGGAATTGGGTCAAGTTCAACAATGCCTGGGTCAAAGAAGGGACAGAGTGTCTTGGATGCAAACAGGAAAGTAAGTCATTGTGACTTGTCTGTTGCTTGTAACGGTGTGTCTGATGTTAAGCATGACATGGTTGATGTTACTGTTTTGCCGTTCAGGGATAATAGGAACATCAAACTCCCTAAATTAGAACCACGGTGTTTCGATGGAAACCCGGCCGATTATTTACAATTTGTAAAGGAGTTTGAGATCATGCTGAGTAGTTTTCTATTAACTGATGAAATGAAAATAATGTATTTGATGAGATATTGCACTGGAGATGCTGCAAGAGCTATACAGTATTGTAAGTTTATGAAGCCAAAAGAGGGCTACGATGAGGCTATGAGCATATTACGTCAAAGGTTTGGAAGACCTTCGACGATTGTAGGGAAATTATTCGAGGCTGTTAAGGGTAATGGTGGTCAATTACAGGATGACTCCCAGGCACTCTCTGAGTTTCTGGATAATTTGCTGAATTACAAGAATGCATTGATTTCGATGAATTGCATGAGTGATCTCAACTTGAGTTTTATACTAGAAGTAATAGCAAGACGCCTACCTACTCGACTGCAAAGGAAGTGGGTGAAGATAAGCTCCCGTATGGAGGATGAGGGTATCGAGCCAAAATTTGATGACATCCTGAAACTAGTAAAAGATAGCGTCAATGAATCTATGAGCAAGTTCGCCAGTCTATTACATCTCACCCCTAGAATAGAGCAGTCTGAGAGCAAAATGCAATCATTGATGACGAGTAGGTCTCAGAGAAGTGGATATCGAGAAGGCTCGATGATGTCTAGTAATGCATATAGACCTAGTGAGTGTAACAGGTTTCGTGGTACATCCTCAACAGATAAGTTACAAGATGCAAGACAAACACGGTTGTGTTTTACACGTTTGCAAGAGGTGCATACAAAGGTGAACTGTGAACCAGTGAGCAAGTTCAGTGATAAGCTAAATGTAAACTCCAGACCTGACTCCGAATTGTGTGACGATAACGGTGCGGTCAGGAAGTCTGTAGTTGCAACTGGTAAGCCATTGTTGAATATAGTGTCACAGAATAGAGTTACTGCTTCAGAGTGCAGTTCTGACCCTACAAGTTTACAAGGTATAACTAGTCAGAGTGAAGATATAGAACCTTTAAGGATTTGTGAGGAGGAACCAAAATTGTCTACTTCTGTTATTAAAGAGTTTGAAAATGATGAAATTGACGGTAAGGTGAATATTTGTGGTAATGATCATGATAGTTCAGTTTTGTCTTTGGTTGGTCATGATGAAATGAGTGGAATGCCTACTACTGCTGAGTTGAACAAAGGTTCTGTACAACTTGAACGTGATGTAGAATTAAATGCAGATGCATTTGCAGAAGTTATGGATACTTGTCAAACCGTCAGTGTAATTGATCAGCGTGTATCCAACCTATCATCAGATGCTATTGCTAAACCTGAGCTGACAGGAAAAGACAGCAGTGGTGGTAGTCTTGCAGTTAGACAACTTTCTGAAAGCCGAACAACAGCTTCTGATGCACCGGTAAGTTCATCAACTGGTATCAATCAGTTGTCGTTGGTGTTGTCATCCACAATGAAACAGACGCCCATCAACCCAAGTATCCTATGCAATAACTTTGATGGTATTGTTGCAATTGAAAGGACGAAAGAGGATATAGCTGATAGAAGGATGTCAGCAAATGAACTCTGCGACGATTTTCCAACCTAGGGCGTCAACCTGAGAAGGGTTGCAGGCGCAATGGTGTAAGCCCTGCACTTCTTCAAAGGAATTACATGGAGACACGATCGGCGATGTTATTTGTACTGTTTGTATATACGTGTAGTGTTTCATGTCAATTGGTGTTTTTGGATTCATTGTGTTTACTTATTGTTTTCGTATCTTGTTGCCATTGCATAATTTTGTCAAATTTTTCGTCGTGATTACTTCTGAAGTTGTTTCGAGTCTTCTACATCAGTGAGTGAATTGATTGATTTTAAAGACAGCAGATGGGTGGTTTACGCCGGTGAGGCTATTGCTGAGAATGAATTGCACACGGAGATAAGGATCAGCTGTGGTCCGACACGCCGGGGAGCGAGAGTGTAGACGACTGAGGCTTGCATACGTCACCGTTACTAGAACTAAGGCAGAATACGTGACAAGGGATTGCAGTGTTAATTGGTAGTGGGTAGATAAGAGGATGTGCGCAGAGTATCATGAGGTGGTGCTATGATCACGTTGCGTTCTGCAAGGGGCATTCTGTGAAGTGGCGATTGTGTTGCAAGATGTCAAAAGGATACCTTTAACTGGAAGATGTAGGTCGTCGTCGATATGTGAGATTGTGCTGTGAGTATGCTTGTGGTGTGTTGACTTTTCTGTTTGTTTTCCATTTCAGCTCTGTCCGTGTGACCCAGGTTCTCGCAATGGCATCCAAGTCAACGTGTATTGGTCGTGATGGAAAAAGGGGATGGATGAGATTTTGCCGGGGAGTGTCAATGGAGTTGAAGATTGAACGATCAACTCATGGTTGTTTGCTCAAAACCAACTTCCCCAATTTTCGCGGAGGCATCAATACACCAGTCATCGTCTCATCGGTCGCTGTTCAGAAAGAAGTCAGGACAAAATCTTCAGGAGTAATATTGTGATTTATTATTGTAATATTTGTTCATATACCTTAGTTGTAAAGTTGACTATATGCTGGTTTTACAATAAAGAATTCTCGAGTCGCTAATCGGTGTTTTGGTTTTTGTGTCCGTTTGTACTAAGCGTATCTGAGAAGCTTCGAGGGACAGCGTGAGGCCCAGCGTAGCCAGAGCTAGGCATTAACGGTTTACGAGACGTGGCTGACCCGCTGATATAGATCTCCTAACATGGTTAGCAGTTATCAACGCCCCTGTGGCCTTTTCCCGAGGAATGGTTGTCTCTCATCAACCTAGCAACGTGTTCCACCATGTTAATTGAAAACTCAAATGAAAAAGCATACAATAAAGGGAGAATACCGCTGCCGTCGTTTCATACTGAAACAGATCTAGGCGTGGTAATGAGTCATGACGGAAATACAACTGAAACAACAGAAGACAAGGGCCAGGAATCAGATCGTTTAATAAAGAAATCAACACACATTTATATATTTTCATGTACATTATTATAGCTTATTCAAGCAAACGAACACAGTCTTCTGATTGGTTGTTTCTCACAGAAAGTTAACGGTGCATCTCTTTGTGACTGTTTCTTGAATGTCAGATCCTCTATATGTTAACTGCACCCGCCTACGCAAAGTGTACTGTGGTTGTTTGTTGAATCAGTCTTCGTTCATATTTTCTCATGACCAATATTCGGGTCATACACCTTGACGTAAATAATTGTCTACCAATTTGGTTCTCGTCACACAACAACATCCTGTCACTCAATCACACGTTCACACCTTTATGAACAATAAGCAGAACCTCTAATTGAATCAAAAGTGAAGTATTCATCATTTCATATTGGCGGGGTCTGAACTGGCAGTCTGCTGATTTACACATAAAGGGAAGTCATAAATACTTGAAAGTAATTTAAAGAAGGGACATGTCTGGTTCATGCCGTGACTAATCCATCATAATGCTAACGACATGACTCCAAATATCTTTTCATTTCGTCGTATCGTAGCCACAGATTAGATCTAATCACAGTGTTTAGGAAACGAATGTGAACCTAACCGGCCGTCGGAAGACGTGGAAAGTGAGGGTAGAACTGTATCGGTGTGGATCACAAATTATCCTGATGAATAATTAACTATTAGAACTGGCTCTCAGAAGAAGTGATACCTGCTCACTCAACTGACTTGTTCAAGGAGGAATTCGTAAGTCATAGACACCCATCAGAAAAGGATAAACATAAACATGAAGCCTTTTATCCTCAACCAAAATCTGCAAAATCGCTTGTCGAGTCACAGAATCCCGTGACTTAGTATTAACGAATATATTGGGACTTACCTCTAGAAGGAAACTGCTTGAAAACGAGAATGTACTTCAATGCCTAACAATGAAACCCAGTTTGTCCCAGTCAGTAGAACAAATGGATCTCGTCTTTCAAACTCACATCATTTACAGGCACGACGTTTTCTCTCTACTTTTTTTCATTCTGTATTTATTTTTGTTGTGCTGTTTTGTTTCTCTCTTCCTTACAAACTCTACTTAAAACATTCTTGTTCGTTCTTTCACACTCTGTATATCTCGACCATTTTGCCATCACTTACGCCAGTAAATATGCTAGTAGTATCTACTTTTCTAACACCTTCAGACACTCTGTTTAAATTTTGGCTTTGCCACCGACATGCTAATATGTTTTTGTCAAAACTGACTGAGGTAACTTTAATCTATGTAGAACTTTATTTATTGTTAACGTACTAACTGGATGCAATATTGTAGCAAAAATGCTGAGAATTCCATTCTGTATCACAAGTACTGATTTGGAATAAAGCTATTATCATATCTTACATCTTATTTTATACCAGGCGGCCTTTGAAGGTCGTTTGAGAGGTTAGTAACACCAGCGGGTTTTCAAAGCTGTCAAACGAAGCATTTATAAACAGTAGTAGCAATTAACATACCGCCTATATTTTATCAATTTGGCTGGCCACTTTTCGTTATCAAATGTGAGTTTATTTGTTCTTATTGGTGAGTGCAATTTACTAAGTCGATATAACACACTTACGATAATTATGAATTAAATCTCGCTTCTTGTCTATAGGAAGTGAATTCTGAAATGATCCTGCAATGACTTGATACTGAGGAAGAAACAGTAATGTGTTCGTTTTCTCAACCCTATTCAGAGTAGCTCAGCGTCTAATGCAGTAGTCTAATAATAAATAATGCCATGCATTGCTTCGAGCGCATTGCATAACATTTAGGGCAGGATTCAGATCAGTGTCCTACGTTTTGAAGTGCCCTCGAAGAAATTATTGTCTGGGTGGTATTATTTTCATCATCGGTGCACAGCTTTCAGTCTCGATTTCGCTCCTGTCATATTTGTTAGGCATTCAGCACATTCTGTGGCCATTATCGGAATTAATCCAGCATATATTACACTTTCTTAACGCAATATATTATCTTAGCACTATACTGCAATATTGACGCACAGACCAGAATATTCTGAACTAAATAAATGTTAGTTTAGCATTATTATAAGCTTGGGAAGAAAGTGTTACACTTTTGAAACAACTGGTTAGACTCTTTGAATGATTTGTTTGGCGATATATCTAGGCCACTTACTCCATTTTGTCCCCTTGGTTATTGTAACATGACCAGTTTATTTTGACTGTCCTGTGGTTACACCCTCTCTAAGCTTATAAATACGTTCACTTAACAGTAGATTTCACTCTTAAAAGCTGGCTCACTTTAGCTGTAAATACATTTCGAATGCTGTTTTATTATTGCAGTATGTTCTATGTTCACTTTTCAAACAAATGCGTCTTAAGGTAAAAATTCCAGTACCTAATCCGTACATACACAGGTAAATCATGGATTGTTCAGTAGATTAAAACACTGTTGATCTGTCGCGACAATCCAGTTACAAAGTCATTGATTACACTGTTGTACTACATCTTTTGGACTCACGATTCGTATAACAGTTGGACAACATTTTCACAAAAGTGTGCTGTTCCTGCATACGAACATAAGTATTCACCGTCTTTTAGCACGGTTATCTTCACTGTGTTGACACTGTGTCTGGGTCTATTTATTCTATCTTATACCAGTTTGGTCCTTGAAAACTTCTAAACCTACAGAGGACAGATAGAATAGTAAAAAGTCCCGTTATTTTAGTTTTCATAGTAGCTCCACCGGTTTCGTGAAATCTTTGCTCTCCAATGATTTTTGAAATCTTAATGGTTAGGGAAGAAGCGAAAGATGAAGTAAATTAATATTTTAATGGGTCACTTACAAATTTATAGGCTCATTTTATGATGCACCTGAGGGGGATGTTTTTAAATGCAGACTGTACTTTAAAGTATTTGCTGTATGAGTGAAATGCAGGTACACTGGTCAAATGAAGATTGTGCAGATGATAACAGTTGCGACCCGTTGGGCCTTGGGAACAACTTTAAGTTACCAACTGGGAATCAGAGGACATTATACCTCACTTGCATTTTAAAGCTCTAGAACTCTTTAGACAGAGCATGAGCCATTTACAAAGCTGATTACATTGGATGAAGATTACTCCTTCAGATTTATTCTTCACATGTGGTGAACTGGAAACTTTGATATCTGTGGCTCTGGTGTACGTTTTATTTCGATTAACCTACTAACTCTCACAGAATGGTAAAAATTACTGGTGAACTGCACAGCTATGCTTTGATTGAGTAGTTGAGCTGGGAAGATATACTCTGACAGGTTACAGGCTGTAGCCGATTTTAATCTTGGGACCTTTATAGTAAAATTAAGGCTGGTTTTGATACCCCTTTTTGTTTTATTTTTGCAACAGCAGTAATCCTCTGGTTGTTAGTATTTACTATTCGGCAAGCCGTCCCCAGTTTTTATTATTTGGTCCAAATGGAATAACAATACATAGTAGTGGGAGCTGATAAATACTCCATTCAGAACAGACAGTTCGATATCTACCATGATTGAGAGTCTTAAGAAATTTATTTGATATTCATTTATTATCCTACTAGACTGAGGTTATTATTTAATAGTGGTCAATACTAACTGCTTTAAAACTCAAAGATTTGTTTCACACATTGCGTTTGTCGAACAGCGTGAAACTGTCGAGCTTGCGAGTATCATTGATTTCTGATTCTCTAAATAAATGGACCTCACTTCGAGATGATTAATTGTTAAACACATCATAATCAGAATGTTAAAGTGGCGCGATACAACAACAGGTAGGCTTGGGATGAGTTTCCGAAAATCTGCTGTCTGAAACAATTGCTTATCGCAATTCTCAATTCTTCGTTAGCTTCCTCTTATGAAACTACTGTTTCCAGTTTAGCATGTTGAGGAATAACAGTTTAAGTGTATACACCCTCGTTGGTCAGTTAACTTTTGATTTACCTAAAGCTTTTTCAAGAAAGTGAATTATATTCTAAACCTCAATAACTGACGTCAGGAAGTTTAGGCTAAAGATTCTTCAAACATGAAAATTTGGTAAACATCAATTTTTCCGATTTCATACAACTGACCATACAATGGAAAACTTCAGAAAACCCACAGATAAACACATAAACGGAACGTAATGAAACTACAGTTGACAAGAAAACAAATAAATTTGACTGGTGAAAGTTTTGAACATCTGCAGAACAGCAAGGATTAAGTAGATTTGCACTACAACAAATACTTTTGATGATGTTACCATTAGTCTCTAGTCATAGATTTCTGACTTTACTTAGTGATCACTTAAATAAGATTTGTTAAGCGAGGTTTAGGTGGATCAAAATACGTTCTATATGTCACCGTATTTCCCAGAAATGACTGTTCAAATGTAGAGTTTGTTGGGAGACTGTTATTTTGAGTGGTTTTTATGCAAGCTATATTTCAATGTATATGTTATTCCAGAATTTATTAGCTACAAAGGTTTACTTCGGTGTCTTCGTATTTCAGCTTCATGTATTAAATTTAACCTTGTCCTTCTTTTCTTCAGAATTCACACATTGACCAGTGTTCATCAGTGCCAATTTTAGTTCCAAAGCAATAAAATGGTGATATAAACAAATGCAATTACAAAATGGATTGGAAACTTCATTGTAGGAATATCAAACAATTAGATCTTGAAGAAGTTAAGAAAACAGCAGAAGTATTCAAGAAAAAATCTGAAGATATTGAAGCAAAAATTTTCCAATTATCAAATGCTCGCCAGTCAATGAAAAATAATAATATTCTACGCGTACATATAAACACATGGAGAAAAGAAATGTCCTATTTAAAAAAAGAAGAAAAAGAGATTGAAAGCCTACTAAAAGATAATTGTTTTTTATGGATTTTCAAAGAGAAAGCTATTCTGGAAACAGAATCTGTAAATTTAGCAAATATAGAGAAGCTACAAAGCATAATTTCAACACCTTTATATGCTCTAAGGTTAGTCAGATGTTTTCAGAGCATTATCTATGTATTCTAAAAGGAAAGAAATTAAAGAATGGAATGAAATCGACATGAAAGATGAACGTTTATTGAAACAAAATTCTGTCAAAGAGGCTATCCAAAATTTATCTGATTGTATCCAAAATTTGAATAATAGTTTGAGCGAGGAAAGTGAACTGCTTTCAAAAAGTCAAGAGGATGGAAAAGGTAGGGAACTGTGCAAAGTGTTGTATTCTCCTATAGACGATTTGATTACAAATGAATATAAGAAGAAACCGTTCACATGTAATATCAAAGATATGGGAATACCTGAGAATGCATGGGATTGGCAGTGTTCAAACAGTGAGTACTTGTCAACAATGTTATCTGAGTTCATTATGTTGGATTTTGAGTTCTACAATCAACTTGAAGTAATTAAAAAAGAATATGAGTCACTTCGATTGACTGAGTGAGTTATATAACATTTTACGTATGTATATATATATTAACAAAAACTTGAGTATTTGAACTACAGGAAATTATCAGTTTTATGAAATTTGAACATCCAAAGTATGATAGCCAAATATAGTGAGGGTTTAAGTTTAGCAATTAATCAGTGTCAAAATTCAATAATCTCACTTCCATTTTCATAGACTTTTAGTTGTTAAATTGTTGTTTTGTAACGGCAGAAAACCAGGGACTTAATAAAGCAATGTTTATTTGGAATTTGATATCTCCAAATAGCAAAATTATGCAAACCTTAACATTAAATCATCATTCTCACAGATCTTCCGTGTTGCGCCAGTTTTGGCCTCCATATTGTTTTTCTTTGTGTTCTTCAATGAACGAAATATTCCCAAATTGAGTCATAAGAGAAAGGCACAAACAGAGAAGAAAATTTTCTCTTCGACGATTCATTTTCAAGAGCTGTACAATCGTAATTATAATTAACAAAGAAATCCTCAGACCAATCAGATACTGGTAAACTTTGTCCATGAAAAATTGTAATACATAATGTAAGGTGTAAGAAGAGATGACTAATTGTAAGTTAGAAAGGAGACAGAAGTTGGTATGACTTACAATTGGTAACTTACAATTAGTCATCTCTTCTTACACCTTACATTATGTATTACAATTTTTCATGGACAAAGTTTACCAGTATCTGATTGGTCTGAGGATTTCTTTGTTAATTATAATTACGATTGTACAGCTCTTGAAAATGAATCGTCGAAGAGAAAATTTTCTTCTCTGTTTGTGCCTTTTTCTTTGTGTTCCTTTCACGTCTCCAATGTCTCTCCACAACTCCAAATATTTCGCTTTCCCTGACGTCAAATCCACCTACATGCAATTTGATGTCTTTATGCCAACGGGAGTGCCTTTATATACTACTGGTAAATCATATCAGTAGCACACGCCACAGTTTCTTTGTAGTGAGGAGTGACTGCTACCTAGAAAATCTCAAAATCTTAACATTTACTAATGTTATAGGTTTTTGTAAGGATTTAGATTAATTTCATTGTAGATTTTATCCTGAACCAACATCGGTTTTAAAATGAGTGAAAACCAAGGAGAACTGGTCGACTGTTTCGTCCTAGGTCAGTACTTTTCGGCGGTGTTCATCTAAGACCTCAGCAGGGATAGAGCTCGGTACCTTCAGATATCATAATGATAAATTCAACATCCATTCACTATGCTGGAACTTAGTTTCTCATAAATTCTAATCTCTGTAAACTCGTGAATAACAGCATTTTTCATCGAATGTTAACGATAGGTATCTCTATCCATTACTGACTTAGGATGCCTATGGGTCACGAATTTGCACCAGAACCCCGAGAAGTCCTACCAATAATCAATTATCAGTGAATTTCTTTTTCAGGTGTCCGAATACGGAGATGTTACTAGTTGGATCCCCTAGGCCAGATAAATATATAAATACTCGCTTGTAACATTGGATGGATACGCTGGAATGCCGTTAAATGGTTTGGCGAGCTTAGCCGCATAACCTGAAAGTCATGGCGTTCGATCCCTGGTATGGTCGCAGATGCACACTACTGAGGACTATCAAGCTAGCAAAAAACAGCTGTCCATTACCCTCTGATTTCTATTGATTCTATAATTAGTTCAAGACAAGATCAACGTTTAAATAATCATTTATGCTGTGCTAATACAAAGTAATGACTGATAAGTATAGTTGAAAACGACTGACGTCAGTCACTAGTACTTGCCAACTAGATCTACACTGAAGACTGGTTTTTCGGTTACTTGCGATCTAGCTCACAGAGTCAAACACGCTGTGGTCTAAATATTTTGGGTTTCAAAAGTAAATCCCGAATTTTGTTCTTCGCGAATAACTTATTGCATTCTATGATATCCTTCAGTCATATTTATAAAAATTCACTAACTGAAGTAAATTCGTTTTGTTTCTTAAGGCGTTTCTGGGTCAGTTTGTTTCTCCAAACTCATAGAAAAGCTTCCTTGATTTGTAATTATGATTCATAACATCATGTGGTTAAAACCCGAAAATAAAGGAAATCAGAAGGGTTTACAGTTTTATTATTATTAATATCAGCTTAGGTGAAATGTGTAATCATCGTTCAGAAGAATGATAGTTTTCACAGAGTGTAGAATAGTACGTATGTGCCTTTGTCTCACTTTGCAGTTACTGAATGATATATGGAACCGAATGTTGGCAGTAGATAAATACTACCGAAAAGATCAGCATCATTCATCAGAACCATTTTTTCGTTACTTTTTGTTCAAAATTACCAAGGAGGTCAGATGTAAAACAACTGAAATGAAATTTCCCTCTGGTTTTTCAGCTTTCTGATCCTTCAAGCTACTGATGTAACAACAGAAGACAAGGGCCAGGCAACAGATCCCTTTTTAAGGAAATCAACACGTATTTATATATATTTCATGTACATTATTATAGCTTATTCAAGCAGACAAAAACAGTCTTTTGATTGGTTGTTTCTTGCCCGAGGTTATTCTTTACTGCTTGTGAGTGGTTTCTCAGAAAGTTAAGCCATCTATCTGCGAATCGTATTTGCCCACGTTGAGTCTGCTGTGATTGGTTGTTGAATCAGCCTTGTTCATATTTTCTCACGGCCAATATTAGCGACATAGACATTGACGTAAATTAATGTCTATCGATTGGCTAGCAGCCTGCTCTCACCACTCTGATATATATGACTTTTGTAATCTCGACACATGACAGTCATGTAATCAAATTGTAATAATATGCGTCTCGTAGTGGTGAATACCAAAATTTTAGGTGCTCAGCTCGTTTTGTTTTGGTGTCACCGGTTAGGTAATAATAATAATAATGATTTACTTTATTCCAAAAACAGTACTTGTGATACAGAATGGAATTTTCAGCATTAAGCACAGTATTGCATCTAATTTCCTCAAATTATAAATAAAATTAATCACAGAAAATTTTCCACATTTGCAATAGAGGTAGTGTCAAAAACATGCAGCATATAAAATGGAAATAGCAATAATAATGATAACAGCTAGGGTAATAATAATAAGAATACAAGTGAAAATTGCCGTTGGCTTGTGCCACACGGTATTGGCAATGTGGTATAGAAATCGTAACATGTTTAAAAATATTGAATATAATGTTCTTTCTACATGATATGGTAGACTTATATCTCCCTGTGCGTCTGTATGAATATCTCACTGACCACTAGAATACAGGCACATTTTAGATAAAATATGCGGCTGTGATTTCAGTGCTAGTTATTGCAAAGCATATATAACCAAAAATTCATTGTCTTACGAACACCTTTTAGTGATAAGCATTGGAGAACACCAGAACCGGTTCTCGCATAACCTGGTGCTTATTATCTTTAAGCACTAACATGGATAAATGTACACAACACAAGTTTGTTTGACTGACTTCTTCAATATGAGGATCAGTATTGTGTAATTAGAGTTTACTTCCATTTATTATTATTATTATTGCTCCCTTAGGTTCCTAGTGGAACATAGGGCTTCAACTGCACGTCTCCATTTTCTTCTGTCTTCTGCTATACTTTTCGCCTGCATCCATGTTAGTCCATATTCTTTCAACTCCTCTTCACACGATCTCCTCCATGTCACCCTTGGACGTCCCACACGCCGCTTCCCTTTCGGGTTCCACTCGAGGGCTTGGCGCGCGATGTCACCCAGCGGTCTCCTCAGCGAGTGTCCGATCCATCTCCACTTTCTCCTGCATATTTGTTGGGCGATTGGTTCTTGCTTTGTTTGTTCCCATAATTCCTTGTTGGTGATTCTTTCCGGCCATCTGATCTTCAGTATTGAGCGAAGACAGTTGTTAATAAAGGTCTGCAGCCTTTTGGAAATATTCTTTGTGACCCGCCAAGTTTCTGATCCGTATAGAAGAATGACTGACTTTACGTTTGTATTGAAAATCCGAATTTTGTTGGTGATGCTGAGTGACGAAGATTTCCAGATTGATTTCAGGCTGATGAATGTGTTTCTCGCCTTCCCGATTCTCGATTTGACATCCTCGTCCGCTCCTCCTGTAGTTGAGACAATGCTCCCTAGATAAGTGAATGAAGTAACCTCTTTCAAATCCCTCCCGTTGATGGTGATTGACGTTGGATGTTGTTGCTGTTGTTGGTTGGTTATTTTCATAACCTCCGTCTTGTCTATGTTTACCTGGAGTCCTGTCTTCCTGTCTGCTTCTTCGACCAGTTTGTCGGTTTTCGCTTGTAAGTCTTCGATTGTGTGTGACATCAAACATAAGTCATCCGCGAAATCCAGGTCTTCTAGGTTCTTCACGTCGGTCCAGGATATTCCTGTCTTCTCGTTTCCCACTGTCTGACGCATAATCCAGTCCACCACAATTAGGAATATCATTGGTGATAGCAAGCACCCTTGTCTGACTCCTGTGTTTACTCCAAACGCCTCGCTGAGTTTTCCGTTGTGGATCACTTGGCAGGTGCCGTTGTCGTACAGCTGTTGAATAAGGTTGATGAATATTTGGGGTACGCCATAGTACTCGAGTAATTTCCAAATTACTTCACGGTCAACGCTGTCGAAGGCCTTCTCAAAGTCTATAAAGTTGAGGTAGAGGTTTGATTGCCATTCCATGCTTTGTTCTGTGATGATGATGCGTAGAGTTGCAATTTGGTCAGTACATGATTTGCCTTTCCTGAATCCAGCTTGTTCTGGTCGGAGTTCTGTCTCCAGTGCGTCCTTTAATCTCTCCAGGATGATGCGACTCAGGATTTTACTTGGCGTCGATAGGAGCATGATTCCTCGCCAGTTCTTGCAGAGTAGGCGTAAGTCGCCCTTCTTTGGTAGTTTCACGAGGTAACCTTTCCTCCAGTCAGTAGGCACCTTTCCCTCCTTCCAGACCTTTTGCAATAATGGAGTCAGCATGTCTGCTGTAGTCTCTGGGTCCGCTTTCAGTGCTTCAGGGGGTATTCCATCTGGTCCGGCTGTTTTTCCAGCTTTCAGAAGTTTGATTGCGTTCAAGACTTCAGCTCTCGTTGGAGGATTGGTGTCAACTTGCAGTTGTGTGCGCGCTGTTGTTGGTATTTCTGGACGGGTTGCAGGTGATGGTCGGTTCAAGAGTCCTTTGAAGTGATCCGCCCATTGTTTAATCTGTTTTTCTTCCTTGGTAATGGGCTTCCCTTGGCTGTCTTTTATAGGTTTCGCTTGTGTTGGTCTCTTCCCGGATAGAGATTTGGTTATCTGATATAGTGTCCTCAGGTCCCTTTTGCCTGCTGCCTTCTCAGCTTCAGTGGCCAGGTTGTCGTAGAATCGTCTTTTGTCCTTCCTAGCACTTTTCTTCACTTCTTTGTCCAATGCTTTGTAAGTTGAGCTCATCGTCTCCTTCTCCTGTCCGTCCTTGCATTGAATCATTTTCTCTTTCACCATTCTCCTCTCTTCTATTAATTTCCAAGTGTCCGTTGAGAGCCATTCCTTGTCTTGTCTCTTCTTTCTTCCTAGAACCGTTGAACACGTTTCGTTGAGAATCGCCTTCAGAGACTTCCAATGTTCTTCCACGCATGATTCTTCAGTGATGTCGCGTAGTGTTTCCTGCTTTGCTCTGACAGTTGCAGTGAAAGTGTCTTTTGTGGTTGTGTCCTTCAGTAATTGAGTGTTGAACTTGCATTGTGGCCTATCCCCAGCTATCCTCGAGGCTTTTAGTTTCACCTTGAAAGTCCCTTCTACTAGATAGTGGTCTGAACCCACATCTGCTCCTCTCCTTGACCTTGTGTCCAGTAGGCTCCGTCTCCACTTTCTTGAAATTGAGATGAAGTCTATTTGATTCTTGGTGTTTCCATCTGGTGAAATCCATGTCGTCTTGTGTATATCCTTGTGTTTGAACACACTACCGCCAATCACCAAATCATTGAAGGCGCAGAAGTCTGAGAAGAGTTCACCATTGTCGTTCATTTCGCCGAGGGCCTCACGACCCATGGTGAGTTCTCTTCCTGTGTTGTCTCCTCCCAGCTTCGCATTCATGTCGCCCATCAGGATTTTGATATCGCCATTTGGGACGTTGTCCATTATTGCTTGTAGTTGTCTGTAGAACGCCTCCTTCTTCTCTTGTTCTGAGACGTTTGTAGGCGCATAACATTGAATGACTGTAACTTTCCTTCCTTTTGAGTTGAACCTGGCTGTCATTATCCTGGAGGAGATTGGTTCCCACTGCATGAGAGCTTTGGTTGCTGTTGGTGACATCATGATGGCCACTCCCTCGGTGTGCTCATGGTTGTCCTCTAGGTGGCCGGAATAGATTACTGTCTCTCCAGTAGGTAGTTGGCACCTTCCAGTTCCGTTCCATCTGCTCTCGCAGATTCCCAACACTTCTATTCTGTACCTTCTCATTTCAGCGGCTATCTGGGCAGCCTTTCCAGTTTCGTACATTGTGCGAACATTCCAGGTACCCATCCTTACTTTTGCTTTCATCGAAAGAAGGCACATCGGCTGACTGGCTTCCCGAAGGCTTTCACCAGCCTGCGTCATTTCACTTCCCCGATTCCAGCGAAAAGTAAGGCTATTGCTTATGTTTTTAGAATTTTTAATATATTTATTCGTTGAAGTTTCTGTAGCGATTTGGTTGTTTTACAGGGGTGGAGTTGCTAGCACCACGCCCCAACCCTCCCTCTTTACCCGGGCTTGGGACCGGCGAGAAAACTAGTAAGCTAGTAGCCTAGCAAGCTAGTATCTGGCGAGGTTTACTTCCATACCGAAGGTCTTTCAATTCTCGGTTCATTGTGTGATCTTCTCATTCAATTAACTGACCTTCTTCTTTACCGAATCTAGTTGATATTGCAAGTATTTTATTGTTAGTGTTTTCATTGATTGAGTTCCAGGTAGAGCATAGATCTACAAGCTTTGGCGTTAATTTTACCAATAAAGGCGCTAACCTTACGCACAATCTCCTTTCATTTTCTGGCTTACTACTGGCTATAAAAGGTCTATGGGTACGCCTGCTGGAATTCGAAGCTGGACCTCATTCTTATACTTAGACATTGATAAGTACTAAAGGCTTTCTTTTGTGAACACTGAAAGTTAGATGGAAAATTCTCACTTTGGTATGATATAGATTTAGAAAGAGAGATTTAAATATTTGTTTGCTTCGCCAAATAGTTCTACAACAATATTAGATAAATCTCAAGGTACTCATCTGTTTCGTATATGGTACTGCATCAACTTGACTACGGAAGAAGTTACTACTTATTTTTTGTTCTCTTCTACAATCTACTAATAAGTAGTCATTCTCTGTATGAGAAAAGTATCATTCTATATTATACATACTGGTTTTAAAAACATAAGAATAAATATATCAAAGGATATATTTTTTATCTCACATTAATATTCCTTCTCTCTTATTAGTGAACAACTTTGGAACTCAGACGAATTAGAAATGTTTGAATATATTTGGGATACATATAGAAGACAGATACTGCATCAACGACGACATTACACGCTTGATTTTTTATCACGTCTATTTGCTGACCGAAATACTAAAGAAATAGTAAGTATAAAGGTATCTTGTTAATCAGTTGAAAATGTAAGCACACTGAACTAATGAGTGCCGGGAAGGATGAAGCGTGCGAACTGCCTGCCACTCTTACCAACTACTAAACATATAAGCATTAACGTTTTATGATTATTTGTTTTGAGTAGTATATTATTGGACAGATAGGTGAGGGATTTCCACGTGTTGGTATTCATTATTGGGGTGAGCATGTATACTATTTCCAGCGTCTTGTCATTGAAGAAGTTAAGCTTTGGGAAGAAGTTGGGTTTAGGAATTTTTGTCAATTAATTGAGAACTTCAAAAGGCCTTAGACAGACAGCGTTGATTGAGAAGTAATTTGGAAACTACTTCAACACTATGGCGTGCAGTGTCCAACTTTATCAACTTCATTCAAGAGCTGACTATAAGACACTGGCTCGTGTCAGGTGATCCACAAGGGAAAGCTCAACGAGGCGTTTGGAGTGCATATCGGAGTAAGACAAGGATGACTGCCTATTCTTACTGATGATATTCTTAATTGTGGTGGACTGGATTGTGCGTCAGACTGTGCGTGAGGGCGAGGGGACAGGGATATGCTGGACCACCGATAAGAAGAATCTAGAAGATATGGATTTCGTATGTGGATGATATATGTCTAATGTCGCATAAATTCTAAGGCTTGCAGGCGAAAAGCAACAAACCGTCTGAAGAAGCAGACAGCGAAGACAGGACTTCAGGTTGACATAGAGAAGACGGAGGTGATGAGGATGACCAACGAACAGCAAAAACAACAGCCAGCACTAGAGAGATTCATCAGAGGCAACCAGCATCGTTTCAACTACAGGCAGAACGGATGAAGGTGTCAAAGGTGGCCAGAATTGGAAAGGCGTGATACGCCTTCATCAACCTGAAATTGGTTTGGAAATCTTCTACACTCAACATAAGGGACAAGATTCGGATTTTAAACACGAATGTCAAGTCGGTCAATTCTTCTAAACGTGTCTCGAAAAGGATTTCCAACAGATCGCAGACTTTTATGAACAGCTGCCTTTGCCGGCTCCATATTGAAGATCAAATTACCAGCCGACTAGAAAGAATTAGCAACAAGAAAATCTGTAGTGGAACAAACCAACCAAGAGCCGACTGGTCAACAAATATGTGGGAGAAAATGGAAACGGACTGATCGGCCATACATTGAGGAAACCATCGAATGACATCACGCGCAATGCAGGCCATGGGTCGAGTGGAATACAAATGGGAAGCGGCGAGTCGGTTGTCGGTGTGGTGGAGGTGACATGAAGAAGATCGTGTGAGGAAGAGCTGAGAGAGTTTAAACAGTCGTGGACCCAGTTGAGGAGGATAGCAGAAAAAAAGAAGAAAGTGAAGATGCGTCGTTGAAGTGTTACATTCCACTTGGAATCCAAGGGAATAATAATAATTGGGAACCGTATTAATCTACAAGTTTGAAATCATATTTCAGGAAATTTGTACCATATGCTCAGATTAGAATTGTTCATTTTATGCCACTGAGTGGATTATGAAGTGGTAACATAGAGAACTGTCGCATATTTTTAATCTTCTTGTTCTGAACCGAGATTTCATCATTGTTTGAGAAATGAGAATGAATTAAAAGTCAGTCTGAGTGAAGAATATTCTTTCCAATAAACGGTGCACCTGCTAGTCCAAACGGCATACGTTTTTACTCGATATTGTGTCTGACCCACGATGAATGCCGTCTTACCTCTATCACCTGGTTTTATCGGTATCTGCCAGTATCCTGAGTGAAGATCGAGAACCGAAAACACACTCGCGCCTTGTAGGCGATCTAAAGTTTCTACCACTGTTGGTATGGCACACGGTCTTAACTCTGTCATACTGATTAACTGTCGAAAATCAACACAATCTATACTTCCCATTCGATTTTTTTACTAACAGCACTGGAGAGTTGTATGGGCTATCAGCTTCCTCAATAATATCATCTTTTAACATCTCTTGCACTTGTCGCTCAACTTCGCCTTCCAAATGACATGGAACTCTTCGCGTTGCAAATTACCTTACTTTCGGATCACTTAACGGAATTTCATGATTCACCTTATCGCAATAACCGTATGGGTCACCACCTCCAGTGAACAGATGATCGTATTTATTAATTAACTGTCATATTATATACCACCGAAAGCTTGACCGCTGCTATCTCGCTGGTCTCCTACATGTTGATATGCCCGTATTTCGTGATCACAACGTTCGCTTGCGTGTCGATTATTGTACCAATCTCATGCAGAAAATCCGCTCCTAATATCGTTCGCTGTAGTTCGGGTACAACAATGAAAGGAAACGTCACCTCGCAGCCGCCAAAAACGACCGTACAGTTTGATCTACCCATGATACGCAACACATGCCCGCCTACTGTTTGTACTGTTAATGAACACGGACTAACACTCTTACATAAGTTCTTCTGTATTAACGACACGGCCGCCCCTGTATTCAGCAAACATACTACTTCTTGATCATTCACTCGCAACTTTGAATACACAGCCCCTTTCTCAATAAACCCAAAAACTCTAGTTTCACACGAGAGAAAGGACAAGTATTATACCGTCTGAAACTTTTTCTTTTTCGCCTTTCTGGGCAGTATCTCCTCCAGTGTCCCGGCTTACCGCATTCAAAGCATTGGTCTTTTCTATCACCCAACTTTAACTCCGCCACTTCCCGCTGCAATGCTTCAATTTTCTGCTCATATTCGTTTGGTTTTGGTTGCTCTATAGCGGTTACCGTTGTGCTCAGCAGCTGTCTGGTCACCTTCGCCAGCTCACTAATATCCATTGGCTGCGTTGCGTTAACCAATTGTAATCGCTGAGAAATGTGGTCTGGGACACTGTCGATGAATTGGGAAGACAGTAACTGCGCTTCTGATTCTTCATACAAAGTGGGAAGCGCGCGACGAAGTAGATTCGTTAGTTTCACCGCCAACACTAGCGGGTCTCCATCAGGTCCCAGATTCGTTGACCGGAACTGCTGCATTGCTAGCTGCCTGTCTGTTGGGCTGTAAAACTCCGGCACCAATCGTTCAACCAATTTCTTCCAAGAGGCTGTGCCATTTGACCTGTCTACGCTGTCATATGCCGCCTTCGCTCGGCCTCTCAACAGTGTCCCCAAGACAACTGCCTTCGCCGCCTGCTCCTTGACACCCACCAGGTCAGCGACGGCCTCGAAGTCACGCAAGAAGCTCCGTATGTCTCCTTCTTCAAACGCAGCTGACAACGGGATCGTCATTTCTTTGAGGCAGCGACACCAAATGTAACAATAGAAGACAAGGGCTGGCAACAGATCATTTTATTATGGAAATCAGCACGTATTTATATATATTTCATGTACATTATCATAGCTTACTTAAGTAGACAAACGCAGTCTTCTGATTGGTTGTTTCTCGGAAGTTAAGCAGACAAACACAGTCCTCTGATTGGTTGTTTTCGAGATTTCTCGGAAAGTGGAGCCATCTATCTGCGAATCATATTTGCCCACGTTGAGTCTGCTGTGATTGGTTGTTGAATCAGCCTTGTTCATATTTTCTCACGGCCAATATTAGTGAGCTAGACATTGAAGTAAATTAATGTCTACCAATTGGCTAGCAGCCTGCTCTCACCACAAGTTTACTCTTAAAACTAGAGCAAATTATTAAATAATTTCGATTTTCAGCTGGTGTGTGTCTAATAGCTGCTTCCAGTTAATTCTCGTTCCTTTTCCAATTTAGGTAGTTACTTGAAATTAATCTCAACTTATATTTTGTAGGAGAGAAAATGTCGTTTTTGTTGTTGAGTCATTCTGAAGAATTACTTAGTGATTCAGAGTAGAGACTTTTCCCATTATAAACAAGGACGAAAGAAGAACAATAAGTCCAGCTGCTTAAATAATCTAGTGGATACTAGCTAGTAGTGGAATCCAGGATGCGCCTGCATTTCCCGGTGAGTGAGGATGCTACATTAAGACTGTAACCCAGTACCTATCGTTTCAAATGCCAAAACGTTATCTATTAGACCATTTGAACCAAAAGAGCCATCTTTTGTGAGATAGGAGTAAGTTACTACCTGGTTTCAATTCAATACTGATTTTCCCATTGATTTACTGGGCCACAGTGTTCAGCTTCTGTTGACACTGGTCCTAACAATCAATAAGAAAATCCAAAATGAGTTAAAAACAAATTATAAGTTGAATGTTTTGTTTGATTGGTTGGTTTCTCAATGGGTCTCTAAGTGATGTCAGCTTATGAAGAAATCCTCCATCTAGTTAAACAGAATTCCTAAAAAAAACCAATACTCGAAAATTAATCTGATGCTCACTAGCGACTGGCCCTATTCAGGTAAGTAGTTACTTAAGGTTCTAGTGGGAGGCCGTAACCAGTAGGGTGCAGCAGGTTGAAGGTGAAGCGGTAACTCATCGAAGAAGACATTGGCTAGTGGTTACGGTATGTCGTGAATTGGCAGCAGTTAGAATTCATACAGTGACCATTGGGTGGGGTCCTAGTGGCTTAATGGTCTACGAGCTTGCTAGGTTTGTAACCAGAAGGTCCTGATTTCGAACCCTGGCGGTGGGTGTTTACTGACGAGCCCAAACTAGGCCAAAACAGCTGGTTGTCCAGTAATCCCTGCAGGTTTTCCAATGGTTCTCTAACTGATGTCAGCTTGTGATGAACTCGTCCAACCAATCAAACAAAATTCCTACAGAAACGAATACATGACTATTTTGTTATTGATCTCGCTATGCTCAAATGGAATATTTGCGGAATAGTTTGTTCTAAATCTGACAATCCATTACGCCTCATAAAGTTACCTAATTTCAAATTTCTTTTTGTAATTTTCTTCGTTTTATGCCACTCTGTGATTTTATTCTTCACATTATTAACTATATGATTAAACAGATTGAAAACTGAAGTTTTTGAAAAGAAATTTACGGTGAAAATTTCTTTTTGGCATCCTATTCACTTGTACTCTATCCATTTTTTTCCACCTCTATTTTCCCACATAAATCTGTTTCTTCCTCGAAAATTTCACTACACCGAATTACAGACAGATTTAATGGATCATTGTGAACGTGTAAATCAACTAAAAGATCGTGCTGTAACAATAAATCGTGTATGGAAAAAATCACGTGATGATTTAAGTATACGTATCCAAGCAACACTGTTACAAATCTCAGAATTATCGAATGAAAAACGCCTTAAAACAGAGAAGTATCAATCTCAGAAAGAATTGTGTGATTTTTTAAAGGAACAAGTAAATTGAATCTTTGTTTTTTTTCAAAAAAATTTTTATTTATTTAATATGTTGATATTTGTAAATGTTTTTTACTTTCTTTGCTCATGTTAAGTAATTTAGTATACACTTAAAATCTGTTCTCTAATCGATACGATTCATCCGTAATATACATCTATAATTCATGGGGAAAAGTGTTACTATGAGACGGTATAAATGAATAGTTTTACCTATATAAATGGCGAATATCACGAAGTGACCGGTTGAAAGTTAGAAAACATTGATCATTGATTCCCATCCTATTGAATGGACGGTAAAATGTTTACTTTTAACCTGGATGATCCAGTTAGTGATTTCTCAGTTGATCGTGGGTTCTCACTGATGAAGATTCTTAAGATGGACTGAAAAAAGCTGTTAGATACTCAGTGATGATCTTTCTGGTAGGTATCAATTCATGTGGTAAACCAATCTGGGAATGGCCATTACGGTTATAACAGCTATTGAAATAGGATAGCGGTTGAATCTGAGACAATGAATTATGATCACAGCTAAGATTAACAGTAGACTGACCGTCTCAGAAATGACACAGATTAGCATTTGCTACGTGCATCTTCCATATTTTTGCTTATACTCAACATTTAACATTATCTTTAGTTTGAAATCCAAAAGTCACTACAATGATAGATATCAGTTTGTTGGGTCCTACCTTCAGAATATGAGACTTCTTCAAACTGATTTTAGAATTGCCCATATGACGTGAAAAAAACGTAGGTTTCTGTTCATGAGTGTGTTCATCCAGCTATCTGAATTAGCTAAACCCATCCAACAAACAGTGCCGGATTAAGCCGATCGACCAGGTTGTAGAGTTTGATTGAATCAAGCTACTATCATACCTGATTAGTGATGGTTAGACTAAAGTACGCTGCGGATTCATGCAGTACTATTTTTTCTATTCCTTTACGTTCCCAGCGGAACGCAGGGATTCAAGCTAGAGACTTGAAGTTTCTGTAGCAGTGGTGTTTATTTTTACGGGATGGAGTTGCTAGCCCAATGCCCAACCTTCCCTCTCCGCCAGGCTTAATACTGGCTTAGTGAACGAGGTAGGGGAGTGCATTGGCCGGGTATCGAACCCCGGAGCACATGCATGGTTGGCGAGCATTCTATTGCTGCGCCACCGACTCACTGCGGATTCATGTAGTCGCTGGGTAATGGCCTGCGTAACGTATGAATAGTTAGGCTACCTGCATGAAGTCCACAAGGTGCTAAGAGTAAATGGTCAGAGACATTTCATGATCTGTCTTAGAGTCGATGACAATGGAGTTGATGTGTTCTAAACGTCCTCTGTGATATTTATGAGATGAATCTATCGTGCTGTATCCTAATACTTCTGTTCTCATCCATCTGGTATTTCAGTCTGTATCGGAATGAATCTGTGCAAAATGTTAAGTTGATTCGTGAATTAACTAATCAGTCACAGCTCTTAGTATTATGCAATATTAATTGCTAATCTGATAATTTGAATTATCTAGAGATAGATGCAGTCTGCCCACTAAAGATGGAAGTTATCCGGTAAATAGAAACTGAATACTGTTCCATCCTTGTGTTGATGAAATCGTTCAAATTTCTGTGTGGTTATAGGGGAATGAACCACATATATTTTTTTCAGATATTGAAACTAGAGTATAAGAATTTTCGCAAATTAGAGAGTTCAAAATTTAGCGTATCAAAAGACTAAACATCACATTCTGTTTATATGATGTATTACAAAGTAAAAGACACAAGAAATATAAAGGCAAAGATAGGAAAGACGGAAAAAGATTAATTAATACCTTTCGTCAGATTGGTTTTAGCTTATGTAGAAGAAATGAGCATGATCAAAATTTGGTTGCCAAGACAGTTATTGTTATATTATTATTGTTTCCTTTATTTCCTAGAGGAACATAGGGCATCAGCCGCACGTCTCCATTGCGCTTGGTTCTCTGCCAACATTTTCACCTGGCTACACGTCTGCCCAAATGCTTTCATCTCCTCTTCACATCACCTCCTCCATGTCACCCTCACACTGACTACCAACTAGCAGCTTCCCGTTGGCTTCCACTTTAGGGCCTGTCTTGTGATGTCACTTGATGGTTTGTTTTCTCAGAGTATGGCCAACCCACCTCCATTTCTTCCTGCAAATTTTGTTGCAGAATCTGTTCCTCCTGGGTTGGCTCGCTCCCAGAGATCCCTCCCTATTGCTGGTCTTTTCTAGTTATCTGATCTTGAGTGTTGAGCAAAGACAGCTGTTTATGAGGGTATGTAGTTTGTTTGAGGTGCTCTTCATGACACGCCAAGTTTCTGATCCGCATTGACTTCACACTGGAGTTGAAAATTCGCATTTTATTTTTCATGCTGGGGAGTGCTGTTGACCTCCACACAGACTTGAGAGAAGTGAAAGCTTGCTTTGCTTTCGCAACCCCCCTCGCTTTGATATCTTCGTCAGTTCCGCCAAGACAGTTACAGACTCATCAAATAAGTGCGGTTAAAACCTCTTTTCAAATTGCTTCTACTAAGTATACTGACCCCAAAATAAATATTGTACATTTTTACCGCTATATCTGTGTATTATGATCTTCGGATTTACCTCCCTATACATTTTCTTCTCACCTTTTCAACTTCACTTCTTTTTTCAGTAAATACCGTTCATTATTTTCCAGCATTCTGAAACTTCCATTATATATACTGCACTAGTAGTTAAGCGTCAGAATGCGCGCCGACCACGTAGTGGTCCGCGGTTCAAAGCCCAGCTGACGTACTCCAAAAACTCATCAAGCCAGTAGTAAGGCGGTTAGAGAAAGGAGGCTGGAAATGAGGCTAGGAACTTCATCAAGTTGTAAAAAATGAAAATAAACCCACTGCTACCGAAACTTCAGAGTTCAAGCTTGAAGACCTATTTTCCAATCGGAAAGTAAAGGAATAAAATTTAAAAGCAATTAAAACTTTTTAAAATACTATTAACAATCCCCTGATCTATTCTTTTCATGTCCTACTCTTCGTATTTTCAAAACTTTCTGTGTTAAAAAGATAAGTTTATGAAGTATAAGTACAATGTACATTACATTATGTGACTTATATGATTTACTGTTAATAAATTAGTGAATAAATGTCATTCAGTGATTCTGGAACGTTATTTGTTTAATTGTATATCAATTGATTATAAATGACTAAATAATAGGCTTTGAATGCTCAGTGTTTATGGATGTTTAGTCAGAAAGGCTAATATAGGATATTTTACGCTTATTAAATGACTAATATTTTATTCTGTAAAGGGAATATTTCATCAATTTTTTTGATAAACGTAGCATTAGTAGTAGTGGGAGTATACACCCAGTTTAACTAATTCACACCCATTCCAATTTGTCATCTACTGAATCATCAAATTATTTATTAGAAAAGAGGAAATTGCATGGAGGATTTAATCATGAGCTGACATCAGTTAGAGAACCACTGGAAAACCTGGGAGTACTGGACTGCTGTTTCGTCCTAGTTTGGGACTCTTCATCAGTACGCACCCACCAGGATTCGAACCCAGGACCTTCTGGTCACAAGGCGAGCTCGTAGACCGTTGAGCCACTGGGACCCGATCCAATGGTCCTTCAATTCTAACTTCTGCCAATTCACGACATAGCGCGACCACTTCGCAATGTCTTCTTCGATGAGTTACTGCCTCATCTTCAACCTGCTGTACCCTACTGGTCACGGCTTCCCACTAGAACCCCAGGTTAACTGCCTGAATAGGGCCAGTCACTAGTGAGCACAGATTAATTTTCAAGTATTGGTTTTGTAGGGATTTTGTTTGATTGCATGGAGGATTTAATCATGAGCTGACATCAGTTAGAGAACCACTGGAAAACTTGGGAGTACTGGACAGCTGTTTCGTCCTAGTTTGGGACTCTCCTGGTGGGTGCGTACTGATGAAGAGTCCCAAACTAGGACGAAACAGCTGTCCAGTACTCCCAAGTTTTCCAGTGGTTCTCTAACTGATGTCAGCTCATGATTAAATCCTCCATGCAATCAAACAAAATCCCTACAAAACCAATACTTGAAAAAGAGGAAATGATTAGTCATATAATCAGTTGTAAGGTATTCATTATCGCTTATCTGAAAGCGGTATATGGCAACGTCTATTTATATTACTGTTTTGTTTAATATCTTACAAAATTATTTAAACTTGTGCTTCAATTAGAGTTAAACTTGACATAGGATAATAATTATTGGGGTAATATGGAGACGATTTGTAGCTCAGGTGAATGATTTTTCTGTAGTTGTCTTCTCTCTTAGTTGGATCAATTGAAGCATGCGCTGAAAATGTTGCCCAGGAGGGCAATGAAAGCCTCGCAAATAAACCATCCAGCTCAGAGGACACAACGACATAAAAAAAACTATTAAAGTGAGATACAAATTGCGTTCATCTACACCACTGAATGTTATCCAAAAAGAGTGTTTAGTGAGCACTTAACTCTTACTGAAGTATATCAAATAAATTTAAAATATTATCATCAAACTGATTGAAAAGATATCGTGGTAAAGTGTTGTTAGAAGTTTTATTCTGCAGTAAGAATAATTTAGTTATTATAGACAGTGACTTAATATTAATATATATATATAGTTATATTTTATAGAATCAGTTTGATTGAGTTTGAAGAGAACGAACATTTTACAGGATAAAAGTAGATCATGTTTTTATTTTTTATTTCACGACTTCTTATCAGCTAATAACAGCCTAAAATTGACACAAGTTATTATAAATGCAAAAGAATATAACATAATTCAAAGTTATTTCAACTCGAAATACACAAGTGTGGAACAAGACATATGAATTAAAGATAGTTATTATTTATTATTGTATCCTTTAGTTCCTAGAGGAACATAGGGCTTCAGCTGCGCACCTCCATTGCCTTCGGTTTTCTGACAACTTTTTCACCCTGCTCCAGGTCTGTCCACATGCTTTCATCTCCTCCTCGCATGACCTCCTCCAAGTCACCCTTGGACGACCAACTCGCCGCCTCCCTTTCGGGTTCCACTCGAGCAATGGCTTGTCTAGTGATGTCACTTGATGGTTTCCTCAGCGTATGGCCAATCCATCTCCATTTCTTCCAACCTATTTGTTGCACAATCGGTTCGCTCCCAGAGATCCCACCCTGCTGCTGATCTTTTCTGGCCATCTGATCTTGAGTATTGAGCGAAGACAGCTGTTAATGAAGGTCTGAAGTTTGTTTGAGATGCTCTTTATGACTCGCCAAGTCTCTGATCCGTATAGTAGCACTGACTGACTTCACATTGGAGTTGAAAATCCGGATCTTATTTTTGATGCTGAATACTGATGACCTTCACACAGACTTCAGATTAATGAAAGCTTGTCTTGCTTTTCCGAATCTGGCTTTGATATCCTCGTCAGTTCCACCTGTAGTTGAGACGATGCTTCCCAGGTAGGTAAAGGAGGCTGTTTCTTTCAGGTTCTTCCCACTTATGCTGATTGTTGTCTGTTGATGTTGGCTAGGAATCTTCATCACCTCTGTTTTATCTATGTTCACTTGAAGTCCTATCTTTGATGCTTCTTCTGCCAACTTGTTACTTTTCACTTGCATATCTTCCAGTTTGTGGGAAATCAGACATATATCATCATCGGCGAAATCCAGATCCTCCAAGTCTTTTGTGTCAGTCCATTTTATGCCTGTTCCCTCGTTGGTTGCCGTTGTCTGTTAGTAATATAATAACCAGAGTTTATTTATAAATAATATGATGGAACTTCAGAGTGTAGAGGGTGCAAGTGGTAATAAGTGAATAAACGCAGAATTATTTCTCAGGTAGAGTCGAACCTGGCACACCGCTGATGATCTTGGCCATAAAGAAGCGAAACGACTGTCTGGTGGTTGGATTACTTCTATCTGGTCAGTAGAGTAGTAGTGAGTGGTGTACAACTACTCACCTCAATCAGTTTGAATGTATGTCCCTTGTAAATCAAGTTCTTAGCGGCTGAACTTGCAAACACTTTTTTTACTTTTCATATGACGATTGTTGGGTGTATTCTCAGAAAATCTAGTAGATACTCTCTTCTTAGTCGTGCCTATGTACTTGCTACCACAAGTGCCTGTAAATTGGTCACTAAAGTTGCAGTTCATATGAAGAGGATACTTATCTGCTTTGATCTGTATTACTGAGCATCTTGTGTAATAAAAAAACAATGAATTTAGTTGTAGGAAATATCTTTTTCAATGCACGTCTGATTCCTCTTTCTATTCATGCTGATGCTTCTTCCTCTTTGTACTCCAGATGAATAAAAATTGGTTTCTTCTCAACCATTACAAGTTTCAGTTTGAACTTTTCTTCTGTTTCATATTTCGTTGTGAACTCCCTAAGATGTCTGTTCTCTTATTTCGAGGACTGCTGAAGACTAAGGAGTCTTTGGTAGCTATTATATCCTACCTTGAAACACTTCCCGTCAGCTGCTTCCAAGACCTTATGAAAGAACAAACCAAAGACCATTAAGAACACAATATTCAGCGAAGTGACTCTTTGCAACGAATTTATATTCGGTTTTTAAGAAATGATATCCAGTGAGGGAATTAGGTCAAAGGTGTGAATACATCAAAAATAATAATAATAGTAGTAGTATGAAATGCAATTAAAATATTTGTGATTATAATCATAGTTTAATGTCAAGTGGCAAAATAATTAATGTCATATATAGAATAATACATAAGGTGTATAGATCTTGGAAAGGGGTACATAATTATATGACTAGTAGACGAATATAAAGTGTTACATAACATGGTGTAAAATTTGTTAAGACAGAATTCAATAGTGTAAAATAAAAAATAAAAATGAATAAATTTGGGTTAAGAATGACAAGTGGGACAGACTTCTAAAGACAGCTGAGGCCCTGGCAATTCCTGACTTTGAGCCAGACCTTTGTGTAAAAAAGAAGCATGTACAATCCCTATTTCTGCTTTGGCCATAGACGGATAGGCATTTATTTATTTGGTTTATTTAGTTATTCTATGTACCTTTCCCTAATTACTACGATTATTATTATTATTATTATCATTATTATTATTACTATTCTCACTCTGAATTGTTTCCACTTGTTATTCTCCACCCAAAATTATTCATTTTTATTTTTTATTTTACACTATTGAATTCCATCTTATCAAATTTTACACCATGTTATGTAACTCTTTATATTCGCCTACTAATTCTATAATTATGCACCCCTTTCCAAGATCTATACACTTTATGTATTATTCTATATATGACATTGATTGCTTTACTACTTGTCATTTAACTATGATTATAATCACAAATATTTTAATTGCATTTCATACTACTACTATTATTATTATTTTTGATGTATTCACACCTTTGATCTAATTCCCTCACCGGATATAATTTCTTAAAAACCATATATATATATACGATTGTACAGCTTGATAATAAATTCGTTGCAAAGAGTCTCTTCGCTGAATATTGTGTTCTTGATGCTACAATGGGAATTATTAAATTATTGAACAAGGACCATCAGTTTACCAGAAGAGTATGTTACACTTCACTCACTGCGTTGAAAACCTACAGCTTATTGATTTTAATACAAATTATAAGTATTTTACGTAAATCCGACTAGATATCTCTAACTAGTCACAATATTTGATTTAAGTTGATGAAGATTTATTTTAAAATAGCGAGAGATGATCATATTAACAACATTTTAGTAACATAATGTGACTATTTCTTATTATCAGTTAACTTTAAATAGGTAGATAGGTTGAAACTATCGAATGGCAAGCACTAGATTGAATAAACTTTTAAAATAATTGTTTCCAAAGTGTACACCAAGCAACTTGTCATTCATAACTATTTATAAATATCAACTCATATATCTACTAGTTCAAAAAGAGAAGCTAAAGGCTTAAAATTTTGCCTCCTTTGTTCTACAAGGTTTTTAATTTTCACTCATCAATCAAATTTAAAGGCGTTTTTTCAAGTGAATTCAATTTTCTAGAGTATAAATTCTTAACTGTGAGCTTTTATGATGTTTCACGCTATCTTCTATAGCCATCTTGCCTTGTCTATACTCGTAATAACCATTATATATTTTATTGAAACTTTATAGTGTAATGTATAATCAGCGTTTCTTTTTTGTGTTTTATTTCTCGTCAATCTGTTTTTCTTATCTTAGGTTCAAAGATGGCGTAAAGAAAAACTAGAAATGAGTGAATTAGAAGAGAAAGAAAATGCGAAACTGAAAGCACAACAAGCAGAAGCTGAATCTGTTAAAAAGGCTAAAGAGATGGCTATTAGAAAAATAATCAAAGATAAGGTATTTACGCTCTAATGTATTTGTATTCAATAAATTGATCCTTTTAACTTTAGTATCATTTATATTACACAGGTATTAGTAAAAGTTGCTGGACAGTGAGTATTCAGCTGTCTTAATAAGTTAATTCCATTATAGGTAAACATTTTTTTTTGATAAAGTCTTACAGTGTTATGCGGTAATGTTTACTGATGACGTTTCGAGCACAATTTATTGCCACCCATAGTCATATCAAGGTACTCACTCAACTCTCTAACTTCCTTTATATAATTCCATTATTTTCCATATTTCCAGTATGAATGATCGGTCATTCCTATTGCATGTGTTGGGTGTAGACTCGATGAACAAGGATTCAGTAATCAACCTCTCTTTCCACCTATCTTGACAACTTTTTAGGATTTTAACCCTCTCCCACCACCCTATTGTGTGGTTATGTGTTAATGCGTGGAATGCAATCATTGAGCTTTTTTCTAAATTACTTATCTTCTCGGGGTCAACCATTCTTACCTTAGCTAAATTCTTATGTTCTGACAATCTGACTACACCCGACCTACTAGTTTGACCTATGTAGTGGACTTAACTCACAGTTCCTTCAAGGTATTTTGTAAATTATATTATTTTGTCTAATTGGGTCAATAGGGTCCTTTAACCTACAGAGCTTGTCCTGTCTGAGTGAGTTTGTAGGTTTAAATGCCACCCTAATTCCTGCTTTATTTAGAATCCTACGTAGGGTTTTAGATTTCCTCTCCTCATATGGTATAACAGTAGATGCCTTATATTCTCTCTTATTTATGTTATCATCACTAGTTTCACAATTACTTTTATTTTGCTTTTAGCCTTTACTCATCTTCCTAATGAATTTTACAGTATATTTATTTGATACCAACGCTTCTTCTATCTGTTTTATTTCATCATTTAGGTCTTTCCTTGTGCTAGTTAGTGTTGCTGATAGGTTTGCTTGACCCTTACCAGTTAATGGATGAGACGAATTAAAGTCTAAATATCTATTAGAATGCGTTGGTTTTTTATAAACGCCAGGGTGCAGTTTACCTTCTATTCGTTTTATTTTACAAACTAATATAGCTTATTCTCCTTGTTCATTTTCTGATTCAAATGTGAATTTTATTCCCTCCACTAGTAAGTTTATATGTGTCAAGATGCTAGAGATATGTTCTGTTTTTAACACTGTGAAAGTGTCATCCACATATCTCCACCATATTTTTGGAGTCGGATTAAATGCATTAAGAGCCATATTTTCTTAGCTGTCCGTAAATATATATCTGCTACGATAGAGGATATTGGTGATCCTATTGCTACACCTTCTGTTTGCCTATATATTTTGCCTTGGAATTTTAAGATAGTAGATGTGAAGCATAACTGGATTCCTAAAATAATTTCTTCAGTGGATAGCTTCACCCTATGAGTAATTTAGGTAGGTGGAAAGAGAGATTGATTACTGAATTCTTGTTCATGAAGTCTACACCCAACACATGCAATAGGAATGACCGATCACTCATACTGGAAATATGGAAAATAATGGAATTATATAAAGGAAGTTAGAGAGTTGTGTGAGTACCTTGATATGACTATGGGTGGCAATAAATTATGCTCGAAACGTCATCAGTAAACATTACTGTATAATACTGTGAGACTTTATCAAAACAAAAATTTACCCATTATGGAATTACACTCTACCACAGTGCACAAGTTTTATTCTTATATTATTAAGTTAATGGTCATACAGAATGTGAAAAATGTTCCGTTTGATTCCATTTCACTGTCTAGTAGGTTTCTACTGAAAGACTTGAAGAATTTATGTCTAATTTTTCAAAGTGTATGCATCGTGGAACGATTTTCAACTAGATTTCAGTGTAAATTTAATTGTTCAAAGCGTTCATTATTATTTCAGTTAAGCACAAGTTAAATATCTACTTAAATATCATCATTATCGTTTACATAAACCACCTTTATGAAGTCGATTAAACTTGATACCAAAAGAAAACTGCATTAAAACAGTATAAATGACTGACCAGTTTTCAAGTGAACTATTTAGAATATATATTATCTCAGACTGTTTCAATAGTGAGTGAAACAGTGGAATTCCAGATTTGTTTTAGTCGCCAAGAGGTTTCATTACATAGCTGTTTTCAAGTGATGGTTTGTAGGGATTTGATTGCTTTCAGGATTTCATCATGAGCTGACATTAGTTAGAGAACCATTGGAAAACCAGCTGGGAGTACTGGACAACTGTTTCGTCCTAGTTTGGGACTCTTCAGCAGTACGCACCCACCGGGATTCGAACCCAGGACCTTCCGGTTACAAGGCGAGCTAGTTCGTAGACCATTAAGCCACTGGGACCCGATCCAATGGTCCTTGAATTCTAACTTCTGCCAATTCACGACATAGCGCAACCGCTAGCCAATGTCTTCGGCGAGTATTTGTCCTCACACCCGACCGGCTGCACCCTACTGGTCACGACTTCCCACTGGAACCCAGGTAACTACCTACCTGAATAGGGCCAGTCGCCAGTGAGCATCTCATTGGTATTCAAGTGATTCATTTGAAGTAGCCTTTTATACGAATGTATCAAGTGCCAATCAGAGAAGGGTCTACAACTTAAAATCACGTAGTTTATTGAGTTCATTGCTGATATTTAGCCTTACCATTCACTATGTCCGTGTATCGGTGGCACAGCGATTAGCATGCTCGCCGACCATACACATGGTCCGGAGTTCGACCATCGGCCGACGCGCTCCTTTACCTCACTTATCCAGAAATAAGACTAGTAAAGAAGGAAGGTTAGACATTAGGCTAGCAACGCCATCCTGTAAAAATAAACACTGCTACATAGACTTCAAGCCTCCAGCCTGAAGCCCTATGTTTCACTGGGAACGTGAAGGAATTCCATCCCATTCCATTCACTATGTCCAATAAAATTTTGTTTGTCTTTTCAATTCATATTCATTTTCAAGGTATAGATGACTGGATAAAAATAACATTTCTTTGGCTTTTCATGGTTTTTGATCGCATCGCATTATTACATCCATATTACTAGAGTTACTGAGTACACTTTGTGACAACTTCTGTGCGTTTATAAGGTGTCAATGAATGTGACTGTACCTTTATGATTACTATTATCATTGAGATTATTTGCAATCATTCTGGCTTCCATGGGCGTTTTTGTTCGTACCACTACTGTTTTCTAAAAGGTGAAAGCGATGTTCAAACTAAAATACCTTTCCCATTTTATTTCTCACTCGGGAGTATCAAGGAGAAAGTAGATCATTTCAATAACATCCCTTCTGAATAGAATGAAAGCATTAAAAAGTAATATAGTTAGGTATATCGGGAAATTAATCACTCAATCGTTGTTCATCAAACCAATACTGAACTTGTGCAATTAAAATGATACCACGTTTAAACCAGATATCTATAAAACACAAAATAATCGAGCAAAGAATATTCTTTTCGATAAATTCCTCTTCTGGCTCTACAATTATATACATGTTTATATACATAGAATATTCAAGGTTGGTAGTTAATAACAATACTAGTGTTTTTTAAATAATATCGATTTGTAAAGTATGATCAATGGAATTACAGATATGTTGAATACAGCAATTAAAAAACTTGAGGAGGTGAAAGCACATAAGACAAAATATGAAGGCTTGTGAATACACTGATAGGATTATAAGCGTCGGTCGCACAGCGGTTAGGACTCCACCGACCATGCACATGGTTCAGGGTTCGATCTCCTGCCGACGCACACCTGTTATCAGTGGTCGGCTTGCAAAATTTGGGCTACCGATATCACATGCTGAAAATTCCATACATGTACCAAAAATACTCTGTGGCTTCAAGCTATAATCAAAATTAAAATAAATTGTGCCCGAGGCGACAACTAATTTAATGATACTGTATCACTGTATGCTGCATCAAGTAAGCCCATCTAATATGGAATTGCATTCTGCCACAGTGTCCAAATTCTACTCTTGTATTCATTCCTTCTCAATAAACCTACTAATATGGCTGCTTCGTTGTTAAATCATCAGTGAAGCCTACCAGTAGCTATGCGCAAAACTAGTAAATTTTTGAGGTTATATTCAATGTTTATATGAAACTTAATTACTGGTTCGTTTTGTTATAGCTAGGAATATTAACTTATTCGCTGTGAATCTACAGAGATTCTAAACTTTGGCGTCAGTGATCAGTAGGTATTGTAGGCGAAAAAGAAGGCGACCCGTCACGCGTGCATATAACAGTAAAATAGTTCTTCAAATGTGTTGTCGGAACTCAACTGTACAAAAGGATAGAGATACGTAATCAAAGATACAGTCTTAAATTCAGGTAAATAAAGAAATCGATAAAATTACTTTTTAAATACTCAGGAAAAAAAGACATCTAAAAGAGATTTTACTTTTAGAAATTCAAGGGACTTTGGGATACATATTTGCACTGTTTCGTCCAGAAAAACTGGTCCGCACTTTTTAAGAGTAATAATCAAAATTAAAATGTCATAGGTGTAAACATGAAATAGAGGTTAAAATTCATTGTCCATTGAAGTGTAAGTAGTTAGTAATTTTCAAGACTGCTAAGTCCTGTGCTGGTAATTTTTCAACGATGCTGAGCCAATGCTTTCCTCGTGAAGCATTGTTAGGGTTGAAAAAGAGATAGGAATGGTCAAATCAAAAGACGGCATCAGTCCATGAAGTCTTTGACTTCTGGTTTGAGCCACATGGGGTGGTATAGATTGCCTGGATAGAGTCCTGGAGATGCTAAGAAGATATAGCTTGAGATGTAACTCAACATCATTCTCAGTGGCACAGATGCATTAATTCTTAGTAATCTTTCAGTAGACGAGGCTGTAAAATTATATCGATTGAGATGGTTGGGACATGTGCTATTTATGCCTAGCTATCACCTTCCTCAATGGGCAGTTTTAGCTGACATAGGGTCAGGCTGGAAAAGAGCTAGCACATAGTGGTCAAACAAAAAACATGTCTTCACCAGTCAATCAAATCCACAACAGTTAGTTTAAGCCAGCCACGGAGGAAGATACAGACTTTCTGGTTGGGATCCTCTGGACGGTAAAAACCAATGGCTGGCGACAAATAATGATATGGCTCAAAGTCGTTCTCAATGGCTAGTACAGATGCATCCACCCCTTGTGACTATATTGTTCTTCCATATTACTATTCTTTTTGCCTCATATCTCTGTTCTGAATCTCTTTTTACTTTATTCTCTTGCTTTGTTCGCTAAGTGAAGTGTAGCAACTCGAACTGCTACATATCGGTGGACAGTTCTATGTTGAAACCAGTCAGACATCGTTATCTCATGTTTTCCCATGTTACTGTTCTTTTTCATATACATCACTGCAAATAATAGTTTGTTTAAAAAATGTTTTCTATACCTTTGCGTGTTATGTGTAGTGCAGCAACTTAAACTGTTGTACTTTTGTGTAGAAGTCCTACGTTGCGATAGAATTAGTAAGTATGTGTAGTTACAAGTGATCCACTAATAAATGTGTTGTCATGACTTGTAAGTTGTAATTATAGGTTCAATGCTTCTCAATATACGTCTAACTTCATTGTATTGTATACGCGTGGTGTATTGAGTGTGTCATTTTAATTCTCTCTGTACTCTGGTATCATTCAATACAAGCATATTTACGTTTACGACACTATTGAAAAGGCTGTAGTACAAATAAGTTGTTTTGAATTACAAATCAAATGTGCCTTCAATTCACCTCCACGTTACTCAATTCCACTTAAGTAATATATGCAAAAAACAAGTAAATTACACGGTTGACCAAAATACATGTTACTTTTTCCAACTCTTTTCACCTAAAATAATCGATTATTTGACTAAATAAACATATCTACAAAGAATCTTTTCAAAGAGTAGATAATATTATTGATTATGTGGAATAAACTAGTTTAGAATGAAAGTATCAATTTACACACAGAATACATGTAACATTATACTTCACACCATTGTTAAAAAAATGTCTTTGTTTGCAAGATTTACGTAGATTTATAAGTTAGAAAGGTAATGTAGAGTTTGTTTCATGATTAAACTGACTATTTTATGATAACATCCTTGTTATCTGTTGATTATTACAACATACTAAAAAATTGAATTTAAAGTTCAAACAAATCACATGTCTATCTATTTACCGGTAACCTACCTAGACTGGACAGTATGCCAATTACCACAGCTTCTGTCTGTTTTCGACATAGAACTTTGCACAAATGTGCGGAAGTTCAAGTCGCCACACTCCGTGTAGCACGCGAAGCAAGAGAAGAAAGTACAAGAAAAGCATAATAGAAACAGTGAGCAGAGGTGTGAGACAAAGGAGGAGTAATAACGAAGAACAAAACAGTTTCATTGGAGATCATAAGTCACAAGGAGTGGATACATCTGCGCCACTGAGAACGATTTTGAGCCATGTCGCCAATTGTTTCCAACCATATATTTTTACCGTCCCGAGGACCCCAGCCTGGAAGTCTACACCTTCCTACGTGGCTTAGACCAACTGTTGTGGATTTCATTGACTGGTGACAAGTTTTTGTTTGACCGCCGCTAGCTTTTTCCCAGCCTGGCCCTATATCCGCTAACATTGCTCGTCGAGGGAGGCGATGGCTTGGCATACGTAACACATGTCCTAACCATCTCAGTCTTTGTAGCTTCACGACTTCGTCGATTGATTTCCCCTGTTTACCTAGAACTCGACGCCTAACCTCAATGTTGCTCACCTTATTATGCCACTTTACACGGGAGATAGAACGCAGGCACCTATGATCAAAGACAGCTAGTCTTTTCATGTCTTCCACTCTCAGTGGCCAGGTCTCACAACCATAAAGGAGGACGGAGCGGACTGATGAGCAGTACACCACAGCTTCTGTCCTGTTAAGTAAAAAAGAGTCTTAGTGCGGTGTCTCTTTAGTGGAAACCAACAAATATGCATAGAAGACATACTAGAAGATGAAGAAAGAAAACTGACACAAACTCTGGTTGGTAATAATAATCCAGGGAGTTCATAAGATATTAAGTGGTCAGAACTCTAGGACCCATTCTCCAACTAGCTGCTAAGAAAGACATATATATCAAGCTGCCTTATATGGGTAATCATAGGAAGCTAAGTAACTCAACAACGGTTGGACACTGCAGTTGAAAAACTTCTTATGTAGCTAAGATCAGAATTATTAACAGTATGAAGCTCAAATATTCGTCTTAGCCCTTAGAAAATGAGAAAAATAATGTCAAATCCCACTGTATTTAGCAATTTAAATGTACGTGTGGCTACGCGTACATAGGGAGGATTCGTCGATCTTCGCAAGTAAGTGCTTCAAAAGAGTATTCTTTATTGGCTTCAGAAGCCAATGGATTACCCAGAACCCATTAATAATGAGAACGGACAACCTAGCTCTTCTATTGCGAAACATTAAAGAGATGGGATATAAAATTTATGTTTACATGTCTTGTAAACCTATCCGTGAAAACTGTTTGGAGCGTATCCCAAAGTTTGTGGAAACCCTAGCAATTAGGAAGTTTAAACCACCTTTGCGTCTAAAAACAATTCGTCATCAAATTAAAACTTCTTTACTAAACTAGGGCAAATGTACTTCTATACCTCCCCTATTAGGTTTATTGATCTTCATTGTTATTTTGACCTTCATTATTCCCCTTAACGTGACGTTTTTCTATTTTCTCATTCGTCAACGCCTTATTATTTTCATATATATATTCCTGTGACAAGCACATGTATGATAACACTGTCCAAAATATGTTGCGCAATTACACTTCACAGCTCAGATAAATTACGTCTTCTTATTGCTTTGTTGAGACTCTTAAAGAGAACTAAGCATTCTAAATTAAAATCTGTTAGATATGTTAACAAAAGACTCTTCTCCGTTAAACCCTGTGCAATTTTGGTGACTATGCTCAATCATACGAAGAAGTGGAAGCTCACTTTGAAGTATTCTCATGTAAATAAACCATTAGTAGTCTTGGAAGTCACTACGCCTAGTTTTTGAATCGGAGTATTTAGCCAGTTTTACGTGAAATTATGGCTCCTTTGGTGTCGCCCAACAGAAAAATGAATAAAGTACATCACTTCCTATTTGATGCATAGATTGTAAGAAGTCATGACGTTTCTGCTGAAATTTTGACCCAGTACCTAATGTTCGACACTTGCAGACGTTATTCAATAAGCTATTGAGCGACTAAACGTATACGGGGGGACGAACCCATGAACCCAATTGGAGTCAAAATCATCTCGTTGATCTGATTTTCATTAGTGACTGACAACAGGACGAAGTTGTATAGACTTCTGTTGAGAAGTTGTGACCAATGGGATCAACGAGGTCAGGTGTGACAACAAATACTGGCCGATGATATTGGTTGAAGGTGGTGTTAAAAATCATGCAATGACAGAAGTTAGAGTTCGTGGACCACTAGGTTCCATCTGAGTCGCTGAATGGTCCATGAGTTGGGCTCATAACCTGAAGGTTCTGCATTCGCTCCCTAGTATGTTCATGGGTAAGTACTTCTGAAGAGTCCGAAACTGGTGAGAAACAGCTGCCCAGTATTTTCTGGCTTACGTAGATTTCCAAATGACGTCAATACATGATTACACTTGAAACCAATCAAATCCTCACAAGTTAACACTTGAAATCTGAATCCCTTTCTTGTAGATCAGATATCATTCTGATTTTTGTACTTGGTATTTACCGGTGATTATTTCTGTAAACACAAATGGCTGTTCCCTTTGGAAACTGCTATCCGATGAAAAATTGATAAGGTAGTTACAAATGCAAACAAACAAACAAACGAAACTGATCACATTGATAAAATCTATGTCGTCGTAATGCATTCTCACAAATATTTTCGTATCATTTATTCACCAGTTACCTTTCTTTTTGCTTTCATCCCTTCAACTACACTCAGATAGCTGAACATCAATCAAGAAAAGCAGCAGAAAAACAAGAACAAGCTGAAAATGAAGCAGCTAGATTGAAATTTCTTCGTGATATGCATGCAAAACAATCACGTATAGATATGGCACGACTTAAAGAAGCACAAGATTTACGTTTAGCTGAAATTAAACAAAAAAGATTATTAAGTCAGTTGGAAAAAATTAAACTATCCGATGAACGTGAAAGCAGATTGGAGAAATTAAGAAAAAAGGTAATAAATCTTTTTAAACCATATTCTTTGCTTCATAATACATTGGAAATAACTTATGAAGTTGTACTACCAGAGATTTGTAACTTAGATATTTGATTGTGAAATTACTGCCATTAGTCAGGGTAACATAGTCAACCAAGATAACACAGAACCTCTTCTAGGCTTGCTTGTTTTGGGAACTGGGATAGCAATTTTGTGCAACTGAAGCCCATGAAACAATAATATATATTTTTAACCTTTACAGAATGTTTGAAAACTGTATTTTGAGTTGTTTCTAGTTCTTTCGAATCTGTGATGTCGAAGCTCATGGTTCCTTCACAATTTATTCTTTGTGATAGTAATATTTGTCTAAAGAATATAACAGGCTTTTTATTTGATTTTATATCTGAATTGTAGATAATCAAGTCAAAACTATAAAAATTATCAGACGGTGTCCGCTGCTCCAAATTTAGATTCATTCACCGCAGGCAATAGGTTGTTTATATTGTCAGCAACACTAAAGCGTCGGTGGCGCAGAAGTAGAATGTTCACCAGCCACTCAGGTAGTTCAGGGTTCGATCACGGGCAGACTCAATCAGACACTAGTAACTAGTGTCCAATGAAAGCATAAATTTTGTTTATAATCCGGCTACGTACTACATCAAGATGTTAATTATTTATACATCTGCTTCTATCCTACCATTATCTTACATCCCTTGTCATTTTATATCAGATCCTCTGCCATGATGAAGACCAAACGTACTTAATATTCAATATTATTTCTAATTATTATATCACTTTATTATCTTGGTCGATGTCACGATTTGATCTGTCATTCGCACAACCGTTTGCATTTTCCCTTGTTGTAGATTAATTAGATAAAAAATCTTGTGGTATTTGTTTCCACATATATATATATATATATATATATATACGTGTGGAAGGATTTATTCGGTGCTGATTTTACCTTTGAACTACTGTGAGTCAGTGGCACAGCGGTTTAGGGCCATGTACATGGTCCAGGGTTCGACTCCCTGCCGACGCACGCAAAATTGGGCTACGGATATCACATGTTGTAAACTTCATACTTGTACCAAAAATACGGTGTGGAATCAAGCTGTAATCAAAAAAATTATCTGCAATTGGTAATAATATCTTAAACCATTAAACTATACATATGTGGAGTGCTTAAAGCATACAAAGTGAATTTAATTCAACAGTAGTATAATATTAGTATGATGGTAACTAGTAGTGTAATCTAGGATGCTCATTTCTTTCTACTAAGGAACCTTCATCTAAATGTATCTTTATCCTCACTGAGTGACAGGTAATGCTGCATTTGAAACACGAACCCCTCATCCGTCGTTTCATAGGAAAGTGAACATTTTAGTCAATGAGAAATCCAAATCAACTTAGGCACTCATTTTAATAACGATTTTATAAAACATGAAGTTTTCAGCATTTTACATGCTGTAAAAGTCACTTGTATATTTTACAGACAAAATCAAAAGAAGCAACTATGAATACTGGTATTTTTTTTTGAACCAGCTGATGAGCAGTCATTTTCTTCTATAACTGTACATTTCATTGCTTGCAACCGTCTGCTATGATATTCTCTCTGAAATTTATGCGGAACACAAAAAGTGATAGGTTGAAATATGCATATTTTATTAAATGTATGAATGAGAATAGTATAATTTGAGGAATGCCTTTGATTGGTGAAAACAAGAAGAAAAGGAGTAATTCGAAGTATAACGTGTTTGATGGAAGAGGTTATTTCAGTGGCGCAAGGTTTAAGCATGCCATCACTTTGAGATTATTATTTTTAGCTAAATAGTAAAGAGGACAAATACTTGCCAGCGATGACATTTGCTAGTGGTCGCACGGTGTCGTGAATCGGCAGAAGTTGGAATTCATGGGCCATTGAATCGGATCACAATGGCTTAATGGTCTACGAGCTAGCTCGCCTTGTAACCAGAAGCTACTGAATTCGAATCGTGATGGGTGCATGCTGATGAAGAGTCCAGTAATAAGACAAAGCAGCTGTCCAGCACTCCCAAGTCTTTCATTGGCTCTCTAACCAATGTCAGCTCATGATGAGAACATCGTAGATCCTTTTATGTCATTTGAAGAGAAGTTAAATATTGAGTTTGTTCGTACCAGAGAATAATGTATATACAATAATAATGTAAACTTTGTTAGGAAACCAAAGCTAAAATATTCTTTATTTTCCTTAGGTTCGACCAAATGTTCTACCAGATCCAAATCGATCAATGTCTGATACTGAAGTGAGTAAAAGTATAATTTTCAATGCAGTAATTAATTTCACACTATTAATAATTTCTGCTGCTGCTGCTTTATAAATATTCCAACTGAATTGTATTCCCAGTCTATATCATATTGATTGTGAGTCCGTTGAAGTTATAGTTACTTTGCTCTGCATGACTCTGTAATAAACGGCATAGAGTTACAGTAGTGAAATTCTAAGTATAGTAATAAAGTCGAATTTTAGACTTCTGGCAGTACTTTAAACACCTTTGTGCATGAACAGTAATATTCACACTGTCATTGTGTGCTGATGACAACAAACTATTGTTTGCTTATTTAAATTTGATTGCATGGAGGATTTAATCATGAGCTGACATCAGTTAGAGAACCACTGGAAAACCTGGGAGTACTGGACAGCTGTTTCGTCCTAGTTTGGGACTCTTCAGCAGTACGCACCCATCGGGATTCGAACCCAGGACCTTCTGGTTACAAGGCGAGCTCGTAGACCATTGAGCCACTGGGACCCGATCCAATGGTCCTTGAATTCTAACTTCTGCCAATTCACGATATAGCGCGACCACTTCGCAATGTCTTCTTCGATGAGTTACTGCCTCATCTTCAACCTGCTGTACCCTACTGGTCACGGCTTCCCACTAGAACCTCAGGTTAACTGCCTGGGGTTTATTTAAATTTACTTAAGGAATTTCAATGTTTTTAAATGTTGGCAGTAAAGTCTGTCTTTTGACACAGAATCGGTTAAAAAACGAACTAGAAGGCTCTTCAACACTAATAATCAGCCGTCTGTCAGCATCCCTTAATTTGTATTATTTGAAAGCATTGCATGTCATCATGGTGAATAAGTGTTCCTACCAATCAGGATACATACAACTAGGTTGATGATACTTCTCCGTTTATGTTTTATGTGTAGCGGGTGATGATTTATAGTTGAAGTGAAAATCTTGGTTGCGATAAGATGCAGCTCAGACGACAGTATTAGTCCTCCGATTAAGAGGTATCCTAGATGTGTTCTAAGTTATCTTGCCAGATAACTCGTAAAAGTAGCAGAGGTGGTGGCATTGGTGAGTGCTCCCAATATTTATAAATTCACTAAATACTACTTTTTCTAATGTGTTGTCACTTGCTTTAAATCATTATTAATAGGATGCTAATATTTTCATTAAAAGACTTTAAAATCTCAGAAGTCTCCGACCATAAGTCAGACTACTGAATTATTAGAATTTTTCACTTGTGAAAATTTAAAGAAGACTGTAAAAACTCGAGAAAGGACAAGCTAATACCAAATGTTTCCTAAAATACAGCTGTACAGCTGACTTTTCCTATTATTATCCTTGTTCTGTCAAACAGTTTCTTTTGTTATTCAGAAACGGTAGCCAAAACGGTAGTAATAATCATAACATGGAAACAGTTCTACAAAAGCGATCACATTTATATATATATATATAAGGTTGTTTAACATGCGAAAATTTCAAGGGATGGAGTTTCATTTTTTTGTGAAAATCCAGTATAAAATTATGATAAGTGAATAAGTGGAAGGAAATAAGAGGAAGGGATGACTCTTAATTCTAAAAGTCAATATTTCATTATTGTTAGATGTTGGGATGCAGTTGAAAAGATGCTCAATGCATAGCTTTAAGAATTGTTGGCTCTTGTCTGCATGAAGCATCTGGAACCTTGATGGAACTTATATCCTTTTAGAGATCCCAAGACCTATTATATAGCACTCAGGTGTGAGACCTTACCACTGACGTATGTTGCTGGTGTCTGATCTCTTGTAGGACTGTAATAGATCCACTGGTTGGCAACAAGAGAATATGCTTTTTAAAGTTGAATGGTAAACGTTAACACACCAATCTGCTCAGTTATACCTTATTAACTTATATTTAGGATGTAGAATTTAAGACGTATTTCTAGTTTTTTGCACTGTCTTATAGTGTACATAATTCTAGATAGACATCTTGAAATCGGTACTTCTACCTGGTTCAGAGACTTGGAGTGTCATGAGAAGCATTCTCAACATTTTACTGAAGACATTTATCAACTCCTGACCTCACTGTCTTGATACTGAAGATCGATTCTACAGAAAGGATTAACAACAGGAAACTCCGTGAGCGATCCAGCCAAGAAAGTATGGATGGAAAGTATGGAAAAGAATGAAGATGGATCGGACATAAATTGCGTGGACCATGGAGTGACATCATGCGCTGAGCCTCAAGTGATAGCCAAGTGGAAAAAAAGGAGTTGACCTTTTGAGAGTAACACAGAAGAGACCTTGAGGAAAGGAGAAGGAGAAAACTTATGGACAATCGTGGAGCCAGCTTAAAAGGACTGCGGAGAATGAGGTGAAGTTGAACTCTGCTGCTGAAGCCTTTTATCCCACATGGGACTCAAAGAAATAGTAATAATAATAATCGTTTTCCCATTGGATGCCACGTAGACATTTTAATTCGGAATACAAAATAAACATTAAAGTCGATGTTTAAAATTAGTTTTAAACTCACTTTATAGTGACAGCTGTCTGCTAGCCGAAATCGGTAGACAACATTTTACGTCAGTGTTTACATCCAAAATCTTGGTCATGAGAAAAAAACAAAAACAAAGCCTAACGTTGAGGAACTCAACAACCAATCACAGAAGACTTAGCGTGGATAGATACGATTAGCAGATATATCAACGGACTGTCTAAGAAACGGCAACAAAGAGAGATGACAGAATAACCTTCAGCAGGAAAACAACCAATCAGAAGACGTTACCTCTCTGCTAACAATAACGAACAGTGCGTCGGTGGCACAGTGGTTAGGACTCTCGCCGACCGTGCACATGGTCCAGGGTTCGAGCCCACGCCGGTGCACACCTGATATCTATGGTCGGCCTGCAAAATTTGGGCTACCGATATCCATGCTGAAAATTCCATACTTGTACCGAAAATACGGTGTGGAATCAAGCTGTAAATCAAAAATCAAAAAAAAAAATCAAAAAATAAAAAATAATAAAGTACATAAAAATCTATAAATATCTGTTGATTTTCTCAATAAACGATCTGTTGCCTGGCCATTGTCTTCTGTTGTTACAACTTAGCTTCAGTTCATTATGGACTTTCACACTGAGTGTTTGAATGGAAGTGCTCGACCTGTGTTAACATATCCGCTGCTTGTGAATCCAGTGACGAGTCCCAAGTGGGACAAAATGTGCATCCTGCATCCCAGTGCTGGACTTCATCCACTAAATTACTTCAGCTTAAATCTTCGGATGTCGTAAAGCATTCACAAACAGAAGCCGATATGTTAACAGAGGCCGAGCACTTCATTCCAATCAGTCAACGGAAAATCCAAATTGAACTAAAGGTACATTCAGATGACGAACCCCTAATAGGACGAAAGGCATATCCTGGATTTCACTGCTAATCTCCTCTCCTAACTTCATTGAATATTTATAAGGCTAAAGTAATTGTGATAACTAAATTATCTTTTATTGATTCTATTTCGTTATTTACTTACAATTTATCTAGTCATGGAGGTTGAAGACAGAAGACCATCTACACAATACTGAAACCTCAATAGAAAGACAAATGTCTAATTCTACTGCTACAACCACCACTACTAGTAATAATATTAGTAATAGGTTTGAATCAAAACTATACACCTACACAAATGCTCAATTATGCGCAGATAATCGTACCCGTCTGACTACAGCATTATATAATGCCGGTGTATTGGATACCGATTATGCTAGAATGGTATTATCAAGTGTAACGCCCAACCGTCAAACACGTAAGGATACAATAACTTCTAAGGAGTTTCAAGAAGCATTAAACGATACTGTACATAATTTGTTTTAAAATTACAGATAAAAAATGTTATATCAACATGTATGTACATAAATATATATATATATATACTGTAAGCTAAATGGTATGTCTGCTAATATAACAGTGTCCTAATTAATGATATTTACTTCTGATCTACAAAGAATTATACTTTATCAAGGTACAAATGAAGCTTCCTGTATAGTCAGTCAGTCTATAAGTCTACTTTATGAAGTAATGAGTGTATTAGGTAACTTCTGAATACGCAACAGTCACAAGGAATGTAATGCACATTAACAATGAACCATACTTACACTCTGAGGGATAGTTAGCAAAACTTAATTAGGTAAACTGGAGGACTTCGAAACTATGCCAAATTTAAAATGAAACATATAATTTATTTTAACTGAGAGCTAGCTCTAACCAAAAGGTCCTGAGTCCGAACCCCGGTGGGTGCGTACTGCAGAAGAGTCCCAAACTAGGACGAAACAGCTGTCCAGTACTCCTAGGTTTTCCAGTGGTTCTCTAACCAATGTCAGCTCATGATGAAATCCTGTAATCAGTTAAACAGAATTGTTAACTTTAGTGATTGTTTCTATTGACAGAGTAGATATTTCCAAGAGAGTGTGATTAAGAAAGTGTAAAAAGTTTGAAATAGTCCTAATGTTTGGTGTAGAAGAGTTCCAATTATACAGTTATCTGGAAGTTATTATTGTCGATTCGCTTATTGATTATTGATTGAAGTGATGCATGTGTGTGAGTCGGTGGCACAGTGGTTAGGACTCTCGCCGACCATGCACATCACCCGAGGTTCGAGCCCCTACCGACGCACACCTGATATCTATGGTCGCCGTGCGAAATTTGGGCTACCGATATCCATGCTGAAAATTCCATACTTGTACCAAAAATACGGTGTGGAATCAAGCTGTAATCCAAAAAAAATAAATGAGAGGATTGAATTATTTGGAGATTTACATAAGTTATTTCAAAAATACAGAGTCTAAGATTATATCAAATAGAGTATAATGATTCCTTATAATAAAGGTTTTTGTATTTCCCAATGAATGAAAAACAAAGCGATATTGTTTTTACTGACGTTTCGCTATTTAATGCTAATAGCTTTCTCAAAGTATTATTAAACCGGAATTTACAAAATCTCAGCATATATATAACAAAGAGTTAAGTGGTGAGAAAAATAGACTTAGGTCACGTTAAAGGGACATATTGAAAGTCAAAATAGCAATGAAGATCACTAAACCAAATAACAAAGGTAACAGTACATCTGTTATGATATCAAAACAAAGTTTACTAACCTGATCATCGTTCGTTAGTCTGGGGTCATTTTTGGTTGTCAAGTTGGTGAATTGGTAAAGATAAAAAAATCAAGTGTAGATTGTTGGATTTAATAAGTATGTAAAATTATAAAATTAGTGTGTGTTTACATAGTGAACTTGCTTATCACATTTGTGTTGATTTTGTCACTTCATGGGGGAGGGAGGTGTTGTAACCCGGTCAGATTCTGTTTTAGTCCATCATTCCTATTCAGGCAATTCGGATTCCACTTGATATGAAGTGCTTCTGATATTAGGCGTTCTTTGTGATTTCTGAAGTTTTCTGGATTATTTCAATATTGTCAAAATCAATTTTGTAGCATGATTCTATAGAGTGTACACCTACGGCTGGTGATTTTTCAGGTTTTTCTAGTTCAAACGGATTTCTCGGTGGTTGAAGAGGTGCTCTATGGTGTTCATTTCTTCTGATTTTCATTTCTCGAGATGTAGATCGCATCACATTCCAAGCATTTTGTTTTATAGACACTATTGGATAGAGAATCTTTCGGGATTTGGTCTTTTATATGGATAAAGTTGCTTTAAGTTTGTATGGTGTTTTGAAGAAAACTCTAATGTCGAGTTGATTGAGTACTCTTCTGATGTCTCTGCTCTATATGAAATGACGACTGCTGAGGTCCATGTTGGATTAATAATGAATTTGTTGATGATGATACGTTAGAATTAAAAAGGACAGAGTAGTCACTGTAAATGGGATTAAATTCTAAGATAACGATACATCTGTGGTAGAGTGCTGCTATCTAATAAGATATTGTTGGTTAGGGTGGACTGGATCAGTCCACACGCCTTGGATAGCGAGAAGAATATGTAGGGGCAACAAAAGGAGGAATCCAGAAGATCTTGAATTATATTTTTTCAGAATATCTAGCCTGAACACCATCTTTTACGCTGTATTAAATGAGAACTATTAGTGAATTGATTAGCGATGCAAAACAGTCATTCGTTATTAGTATCACTACCTCCTTCCGTTCCTAGCAGAACAAAGTGATTCAGCCGTACGTCTCCACTGCGTTCGGTTCTCCGACAACGTTTTCACCTGGCTACAACTCCGGTCACATGCTTTCATCTCCTCTTCACATCACCTCCATACCGCCCTCACACTGACGACCAACTCTCCGCTTCGCATTCAGGTTCCACTCAGGTGATGGCCTGGCGTGTGATGTCACTTGATGGTTTGTTTTCCCAGAGTATGGCCAATCCACCTCCATTTCTTCCTGAATATTTGTTGCACAATCGGTTCCTACTGGGTTGGTTCGTTCCCAGAGATACCCACTATTGTTTATCTTTTATGGCTGGCCATCTGATCTTGAGCGACGTATTGAGCGAAGACAGCTGTTGATGAAGGTCTGTAGTTTGTTCGAAGTGCCCCTCGTGGCGCGGCGCCAAGTCTTTCATCCATATAATAGCATTGACTGACTTCACATTGGAGTGGAAAATCCAGACCTTATTTTGCATGCTGAGTGATGTTGACTTTCACACGAACCTAAGAGTAATGAGAGCGTGCCTTGCTTTCCTGATCGCCATTTTGTTATCCTCACCAGTTCCGTCCACCTACAGGTGGAAAGTTGCTTCCCAGGTAGGTAGGTAGTTAGGTAGGTAAAGGGGGTTTCTTCTTTCAGGTATCTACCATTTATGCTGACTGATGTCTGTTGTTCTTGTTGCTGTAGCTGTTGGACAGGAATATTCATCACCAGCCAAATAACTTCATAGTTTATAGAACTAACTTTTCGAGTGGCTGTAGGCCATTCGCATTCGTACAACTAATATGCATTAGTGGTTATCGCCAGTGGTTATAAACTACTCATGTCGATATGTTAATCAGTAGTATGTATTTTCAAGATTACTACATAACTGGTAGTATGTAAAATAAATCATGAGTAACTTTAAAAGCCGTGTTAATAACGACATGACGTCATGCGTCTATTTAGGATAAAGAAAATATCTTGTCGTTTAGTTTTTCTTTGTATCTTAGAAACAAACTCTAAAGAATCTCAATAAAATCAATAGACATTATCCACTTCGTTCTCCATTATTTGAGTTGGTTTATTTTTAAAGACAAATTCAGTCAGTTATTTCCTTTGCGTCAGAATTACATTCAAGTCATTTCATAAACTGCAGTTCTCAGTTTATTATCGAATATTCGCTATAACCGCATTTTTCTCATCAATCGAAATTAATTAGAAAAACTATTGGAATTTAGAGAAACTTGAATGATGACACCACTACTGAAGAAGGTGTGGAAAGAGTAAAACATACCTGCAGATTGGAAGAAGGGATACCTTAACAAACTGCCAAAGAAAGGAGACTTAAGTCAATGCAAGAACTAACGTGGCTTTATTCTCCTGTCTATCCCAAACAAACTTTTAAAATGCATCATCCTGGAGAGAATCTGATTTTCCACAAACTCGATAATATGCAAGTGGAAAGCCACAAGTTGGCAGAAGAAGCATCCACAGAAGATAGGTCTTCAGGTGAACATTGACAAACGGAGGTGATGAAGATGCCTGACTAACAGAAACAACAATAACATCAACAACAACAGACAATAATCAGCATAAATAGGAGAAATCTGAAAGAAGAAACCTACTTTACCTACCTACTTACCTGGGAAGCAACTTTCTAACTATAGGCGGTTAGAACTGATGAGGATATCAAATTGAGGATCGGGAAAGCAAGGCCAGCTCTCACTACTCTCAAGTCTGTGTGGAGATAGATCAACAGAAATCAGAATGAAAAATAAGATCCGGATTTTCAAATCTAATGTGAAGTCAGTCACTGCTACTTTACGGATGAGAGACTTGGCGCCGTGTTAAGAAGGACACTTCGAACAAACTACAGACCTTCATCGACAGCTGTCTTCGCCCAATGCGTCGCTCAAGATCAGATGGCCGGCTAGAAAAGATGAGAAATAGTGGGGATCTCTGGAAGCGAACCAACCCAGCAGGAACGAATATTCAGGAAGAAATGGAGGTGGATTGGCCATACGCTGAGAAAACAAACCATCACTTGACATCACATGACAGGTCGTCGCTTAAGTGGAATTCGATTAGGAAGCGGAGAGTTGGTTGTCAGTGTGAGGGTGACATGGAGGAGATCATGTGAAGAGGCGATGAAAGCATGTGGGCAGACGTGTAGTTAGGTGAAAACGTTGTTGGAGAACCGAACACAGTGTAGATGTTTGGCTGAAGCCCTATGTTTCTGTAGGAAGTAAAGGAAACAATAATCTGGCTGGCCTATTTTGTCGAGTATCTTGCTGATCTCACATTGTGATCTGAATATTTAGGGTTTCCAGGAGAAGCTTTTCTCATTTCTCATCTTTAGTTGTATGATCTACTTTTGATTGAGTTGTTTGTGGTTAACTTGAACAAATTAACTGTAATATTAAATTACATGGTTTCACTTTTTAGCTGTTATTTAAACTCCTGTGATTACTTGTCATCACTTCAATACATTGTAATTTACATTTTTCTTATTATCTAAAATTTGAATGGAGAAATTTGATTTGTTTTTGAGGACATATTTTATTTCTATGCAATTGTAATGGAATGTTGGCCTTCAACCTTGATTTTTGAGGTCTCAATATCAGCGGGGTTAATTTCAATGGAGCAGAGTTACTGGCCTAACTCCCAAACTTCCTTCCTCACCGATTTTACTATCATATAAACAACGTCATGTAGTGTATCGGCTGGGGATCGAATGCAGAATCACTTCCGTGGTTGGTGAACATTCCACCAATGAACGACTAACACATCATGTATAGAACAGCGT